ACACACACACCCGTCATGTCTGTGCATGCGGCTCTTCTTCTACACGCGGCAGCAGAAGGATACAGATCTCCAGGTTGGAGTCGTGTCTCGGTCTGTGCGCGTCCGAGTCGGCCGAGCCGAGGGTGGCGGCGGCGAGCGCCAGCAGCACGGCGCTCACACTGCGCATGGTCAGCAGGGGGTGGCAGAGAGGCGCTCTCCTGGAAACACGAGACAGCGTTAATAAAACCCTCATAACACCGACACACCACACACACACATGCAGGAGACTGTCAGTGTTTCAGGCTGCCACGCCACTCGTGTTTTCTTCTTCTGCTTCCACTTTCATGTAGCTTTCAGTGAAACAGCGTTCAGTTCTCTTTTCCTTCCAAAGCTGCTGGAGAGGCTCTCTCTGCTTTGATACTTGTGGAATATGTGAAGCAGGGAGACATGCTGGGGATAAGTGGTCAATATGGAACACCAGAGGGTAGCTGGCATTTGAAGAAGGCGGGGAGGGGGGGTTCCTTATGTTCCTTTTAAGACGCATCTGATGTCTGGCACTTGCATAATCCCCAGAGGAACTTTTACAATCTCTGTAGCAGACTCCCTTTCCCCCTCGCTCTCTCGCTTCTCCCCGTCTCCATTGAAAACAGCGGTCTTTAACATTTTCGTGCAACTTCCTTTGCCTCAGAGGCGTTTAAAAAGGAGAGGGATGAAAGAAAAACACTAAATATAGGAGCTCGACAAATGAACGTTTCTGAGAGAAACACTGTCAGAAACTGGAGGGAGGAGACAGTGTTGATGAATATAAGTCACATAATCCACGCATGGTTTAGCTCCATCAGTGATGCTATCAGTGGGGCTGAAGGGAGAGCGAGATTATGAGGAAGACGAGGATGAGTGGGAAAGACAGACCTCGTGGGAAACAACAGCTTTCCTGGTGAATTTTTCATCTGCCTTTGCAAAGACACAATGAGCAAGACAGACGAGTAGAAGAGCGAGGAGATGGTAACGAGCACGGAGGGGACGACTTCTCGTAGATTGATCGTAGCAACTGGACCTGCTCGAGTTCCTTGAAGACGTTTCATCCAAGAGGCTTCATCAGCTCTGACTGACTAGTTGGGAGATACTGATATCCTGAAGGAGCCATTAGCACCTGAGGTTTAATTAGGGGTTTGTTGCTCCTCCCCCTCGTTAGTGCTCCTCCTGACACAGTGGGGTTCGTTAGGGTGTTTTGTGGCCAGGTGTGGATGTGGGTTCATCTTCCTGGGGAGAGATCTGAGGACTAAACAGGTGAGAGGTGATGCCTCAGACCTCCACCTCTGTTGAGGGATGGTCTTTCCAGTTGGACATAGATGCCATCACTTCTCACCTGTTTACAAAAAGACCTTAACGAACCCCACTGTGTCAGGGGGAGGACTAATGACTCACGTAACGAAGGGGGAGGAGCAACAAACCCCCAATTAAAACTCAGGTGTTAATGTCTCCTTAAGGATATCTGGAACTCCCAACTAGTCAGTCAGAGCTGATGAAGCCTCTTGGATGAGAGGTGGAACGTCTTCAAGGAACTCAAGCGATTAATCTACGGTCATAACTCTGACCTGGATGACGGAGAATCTTCACAGATGACCTGATTTTTGCATCGAGTGAATTCCTCTTCCCATTCTTGACTCTGAAGGACCAGGAAGCGAGCAAATGTCTCCGGTGTTGATTCAGACCGATCGAGTCCCCCTTAAGGAGCCTCGTTCCGATCAGAGGAGGAAAAAACAACGATCCCGTCACGCTAAAGCTTCCTTCTGTTCCGAAGCGGTGGTGGCAACCGTCCAAACAATTTCACAGCGAGATCTCAAGATAAGTGTGTCCAAGAATGAACTAATTTCATTTCGTCGCAGCTATTTCTGTTGTCTCTCTCGGAACTCTGCGGAAGTCTCCTGTTTAAAAATAAAACTTTTTCTTTTCTCCCAGAGTCAGCAGAAGCTTCCTTGGGACAGCTGAGTGAAGACAATGTTCGATTACGGCCAATCTGTGCGTCCCGAGAACATCTTTTGGGTACTTTCCCAGCTTTCTGAGAAACGCGGCACTAAATATCCTTAAGTGCTGGTCGAAAGCCTCGATATTTCTCTGTAACAGCCAAGGACAGGAGGCCTCGTCTCTCCTGGTGGGTTATTTGATGCTCCAGCGTGCAGCCATGTAGCTCCTGACAGGTATTTATGAGCAGAAAGGCTTAACGCAGTCGACACATACATCCAGCTGCTGCTAATGCTTCCGTACAATAGGGCAAAGTGCTGAGACTTTACGAAGTAGTCTAGGAAGGACATTAACGGCCGATCAATCACTTGTAATGTGGCACGGGCTGCACAGAAATGAGTCTAAATGCATCCATTAACTGTAAGCAGGAAGCCTAATTACGCAGGAAGCTCATTGGTAAAGTAGTGGTGAAGCACTCGGGCTCACAATTAGACGAGATTGCGACACACTACACCTGCAGGAACGAGAATCTGTCAACGTGGAAACGCCTCCGGAGAATTCTGCTCCACAAGAAGACGGATAAACTTTGTCTTCTCCTACATCATCCCTCAGGTGTACAACACAGATCCTCTCCGAGACATTCCCTCCTCCGCCAAAGCCCCGGACCGGCTGAGTTTGGCTCCAGACGACCCACCGGTGTTCCACATGCGAGGTGGGAGGGCCCGGTTCGGATTTGGACAGTCCCCCGTGGCACTCAAGTGGGCGAGGTGCAGGCGCCACGGGGAGGTCTGAAGGCAGCTCTCGCCGAAGCCCACATAAATCTGTCGGCTGGAGGGTTTTTTTTTCTCTCCTTTCTCTGCTCGCAACAATCTCTCCGGGCAGCACAAAGGCTGAAGGTTTGATTTCCTGTGTGGGAGATCCAGGTTCCGGCTCAGATAAGCAGGCGTCTAATCACACCCGACCTGTGAATTATCTTCTTTCTCTGTGTGTGTGTGTGTGTGTGTGTGTGTGTGTGTGTGTGGAAGCAGTCCAAACTCTGCAACATTAGATTTCAAGTGGCAAAACTGACCCTTGAGGTGAACGCAGCTCCTGAGAGGATGCGAAGAAGAAAAAGCAAAGATGCCTATCAGACAGCTGGATCAGCAGCAGCAGCAGCAGGAGTGGATGTGGTTCCCCTCAGGCTGCTGTGGGAGGCTGGAGGTTCAAGGACTGGCTCATCAGCTCTCTCTCACTCTCTCCCGCATGCATCTGAGAGACTCTCCCTCTGTCATCGTTCACGCAGAGGCAAAGTCGCGGACATGCGTAATGGTGATGATGATGATGATGATGGCCGAGTGTGGATTTAAAAAACAAAAACATGTGCAGCATCAATTACAGATTGCTTAATTGATTGCATGTCCCCTAAGTGACCTGGGTTTCCTGCACCACTCTCACAGGGAGTTTGAAACCGAGATTTATCTTCCACAGCAGTGATGTAACAGCACATGTAGTGGCGGTACACACCAAACTCCGCAATATCACACTTCCTCACGGCTTTTGGTGCTGCTGCTGGTAGGAGGGGGGATTAGGCAAGTATTTGAAGTGGCTCCTCGACAGATCGATGCCTCCTGTCATCGCTGCTCCGCCGGATCCGTCAGCCAGCAGCAGCAGCAGCGGGGCCGGCAACAACAACAGATCCCGGAGATAAAAAAAATAAAAAATAAAAAAAACAACCGCTGGACATTACAGCCACACACACAGAAAAAAAGGAAAAAAAAAACTCACCGTGTTGTAACGAGAAACGCCACCAGGCAGCGGCTAGAGGACAGCGATCGACTCCAAACTAGTGCAGTTTAACCTCTTTTTTTTTCTCTTTCTTTCTTTCTTCTAATCTCAACGGCAAAAGGTCGGCTCTCCTCCTCTGGGTCGAAGGCGGACGGGACGGCGGATTTGCCTCCGCGCTCAGATCCTCAGGTGACCACGGCAGAGGTGGAGGTGTTCATTTACATGCGGCTCTCGCTGCTCCACTCCGCCAGCGCCACGATCGCACCGGCTGGCTCGTCTTTGGACGAATGACAGCGAGCGGTGGCGCTGAAACACGGAGGAGGATGTTGGTTTCCACACGGCGCACTTAGAGGGGGACACCGGCGGAGGGAGCGCTCCGGTTCCCCCTCTGCTTCCTCCCGGCGCGTGATGCCGCCGCTGCTGCTGCTGCCAGGCACATGTTAAAGAAAAGGGCTGTTAGTGTAATGTCAGGTACAATAAATAAAGTAAAATACAATAATAAAATAAAATAAATAAAGTACGCAGTAAGTGCATGTTAGATGATATTAATCAGCGAAATAAAGTTTTATAAAACGCTCCCTCTGCAGTGGAGCATGAAGTAAAGAAACTGAAAGTCAGCTGCATTCAGAGAGAAACCTTTCTTTCTTTCTTTTTTTTTTTTTTTTATTTGATAAAAAAGAGAGAATAAAATACACAAAAAACAAACACCCCCCCATAACAACCGAAACAAATACCAAACCTAAAACAATGTCCAAAAACAAGTAGGAGGAAGTTTATTATGATTATTCTGATTAATACTAATCATAATCATAATAATAATAAAGTGCTTTTGCTTTTCAAGACACTGAAAGATGCTTAAATATTAGGTAAGAACAAAAAGGGGATTTATGAGTTGTAGGTAGTGTTGAGTCTTCTGTTTTTTAATATATATTATATAGCTTTTTATTTATATTTTACCGTGTTTGCATCAAGCTTTATACTTTCATCCCTCTTTAGAAACTCCAAGATCCTATTTTTTTGTTCCACAATATATTTTTTATTTCATTTTTGCGTTAAAAAAAAAAAAGTGTTATAGTTGTGCTCATTTTAAGGATCTTCATCCAGACTATTCCATAAGTTCTTACCTCACAAGCTGACAGACATCTACTCTTCTGGGTGGTGGGAGCGAATGGCTTTAAAAAAAATAAAAAATCCTTCCTAACTCTAAGTTTGCAATGCTGCTGCTGAACAGTTTTAAATATTATCTGCGCAGCTCTAAATTTAGCTAAAGCAATGACTGTCAAAGGATGTTGGAAAACAATCAAATCAAATTTATGTAAGTGCACTTTACCTCTCCAAATGAGTCACACTAAATTCAATTAGTATAATGTTTTCTCTCTCTCTGAACAGTTAAAATACTGAAAAACATATGAAATGGGAAGAATCCGACCTTTAAATATTTTGTGTCTCCCAAACAAGATAAAAATAGTTTACTTGACAGGAATGAATCCTCCCTTTCTCCGTAACACGTGAGGTTTTATCTGGTTGGAAGGTTCTTACTGTCGTCATCTTGCAAATTTTGCATGTGAAGCACCTAATTTCCTGCATTTTGGTGAATTTTTAACGCCGCCCATCGGTGCTTTTTCTGCATCTGTTTATTGTGGAAATGTCCTTATTCACATAAAGGAAAGGACAGAATTCCTGTGACAATCCAAGACAAAGGAACTCTGCACATCTATTTCATGAGACAGGCGTGTGGAAGATGTACGAGCATTTCCAAATAGACACCCACACACCGTCTCACTTGCGAAAACACATTTATTCGCTATGTTTTCTCCACATAGATGGGGACGTATCTTCTGCATCCCCCCACTGAAACCACTAAGCATCCGCAGACATATAATTAAACAGCTGCTGGAAAAAAAAACCCGCCATCAAAGACATCGCTGCCTGACAATGACATCCCCCAGGCTCCCGAACACATCACCAACAGCTGCTCCCTGTGGCAGCGAGACCTCATCCACCTCACACTGTTCGACACGCCAGCGGCCTACAGGGAGCCACGCGCCCGCCGACTGACAGCTCCGTGGTGCTGATGAGTAAAAAGCACCGACGGATGTAGCCTCCTGGTCGGAAAATTTAAGACAATGCTGAAGCGTTTTAAACAGTGTTCTTTCAGCAGCCAGCAGGGGGCGACACCTCTGGTTGTTAAACAAAGCGTGATCGTATGGAAGCCTATGAGGATGTGACCCTGCTTCTTATTTGATTTATTGACTCAGTGATGAGTTTATCATCTTAATTTTGATTTCAAGTCTCCATCAATATGGCGTGATTTTGATTTTGTAAATGATTGTTTTATTTCTAGTAAAATTTGGCGGCTCAAGGTGGTGCAAACGTTCACATGCGTGGCCCCCTAACTGCCCCTTTCAGCTTTGCGGTGTAGTTTCCAACAGCTCCAACCTCCGAGCGCCAAAAAAGGAGTATTTCCGGGATGAAACTCCAGTTGTATGAGCACATAGGAAGTAGAACGATGGAGGTTTGTCGTGTTCGCCTATATGGCAAAATAACGTTAGAAAGCAGACTGCTGCTTCACGCCGACACTGAGAGAGCAGAAAAAATGATGCTGAGTTTAACCAATCAGCTCTAAGGAAGCAGCTTTCCTAGATCTACAAAGTAGGTTTTTTGTCCCCCTAAAGCAGCCATGAAAGAGGTTCTACAGGTTCGGTTCTTCCACTTGGAATAAAGGTTCAAGCCGCCCGACAAAGACTTGCAAGTTCTTGTAGCAAAAAACAACTTATAGACCATAAAGGATGGCATGCTTTAGGGCGTGGCCCCCCTGTGACTGGATGTGGGTTCAGTCATTCTGCACGTCCGGTTTGAAAAAGAAAAAGAAGGTTAACGCTTTAGGCTACTGAACCAAAGGTCGGACATTCAAGCCCCAGCACCTTTAACCCCATCTGTTAGCGTGGCCGACCCCCTGTGAATAGAGCATTTCCCCCCACAGGATCAAGACTGTGCACAAAAACAGGGCTTCAAAACAGCCGTCCACAAATCTCCAGTCTGTATGAAAATGTCTTCCACTCCTGAGTCGCTTGTAAAAATTCCAACTCGGTGGAAGGTGAGGGGTTAATTCGTGGTCTGGTAGGACAGAATGTGTGTGGGAATGCAGAGAGGCAGCTCTCCCCCATTAACACTCTACAGTTGTGCCCTTGAGCAAGGCCCTTAACGCCAACTCAGCTGCGCCGTGACTCACAGGTCAGACTGGCTGTACCGCTGCACCTGTGTGGATGTTGTGAAGGACGTCCTGTGAACGAGGTTTCCTCTCAGTGAAACTCCCGTAATGAGATGGGTGAGCACTGTGCTCGCAGCACAGCGGGTCCTTGCTGAGTATAATTTTATTCGCATGTAACCACGATTTTTACCTTTTGTCAAAACGATGGCAGAAACACTATTTGTAATCATTTAAATGTATGATTTAGTTACTAGAAAGTATCTCACCTCGACTGTAACACCCATGTGCACATAAACAGTACCGCGAGTACAGATTTCTCTATAAACAGACACACATGCATTTAAATCTGATTTTTAATTGTGCTAAAAAATGATATTTCCTTCAACACTGCTGTAAATAAACTTCTTTCAACGAACAAACACACATTAAATGATTTCACTGTGACCAAACTTCAGGAGGACATGCTGCTTCAGGAGCAGAGTGGTGAATCGCAGCAAGTACACAGAGTAAATAAACAACCGTCAACCTAATAATGTGATGAAATCATACGCTTCGGTTAGCCAGAACATCAGACTGGCTTCAGCGTGAAGTCAGAGAGACAGACGGACACACCTCCGACACGTCTGAAGACCAGCGTTAAGGAGCAACAACCAGAGGAAGCACAGAAGAACGTGTGAGAAAGAGAATGTGTACATTTATACGTTTGAAAGAGACTCTATGAACAGAAGTCATTAGTTCCACTTGAAAACATGCAGCGTGTTTACGGAGTGTGTTCGGTTTGTATTGAACCATCACCACTGAAAGAATTCCTCTCAGCTAATAGTACAGGACTGAAGAGTTTTTATATGACGAAAATCAATAAAGCTAATATCAAAATGAACACATGGACTGGAAACATGAAAGTGTGTTGGTGTGTTAAAGAAAAAAAGGAGGGAAATAGACAGTGTGAGTGTGTGTGTGTGTGTGTGTGTGTGTGAGGGAGCATCAATCAGCATGACAGATGTACTGAGCCTCTAAGTACTCGCTCTGACTGTACAGTACGCCCCGTGTTCTCGAACACACTTTCAAAGTGAAAAGCACAACACATGCTCGGTGAATTGCCGGAGAAAATCAATGAAGATGCGCTGCTGACGTATGAAATCCAGCGTGGACGTCTTTCACGGCGTGCACAGAGCATGTGTGTGAATCTACTGCGCGTACGCTTTCACGGCGCTCATTAGCTGCTCGGGGTTTGTGCGGGCGGCTGTGAGCTGCTGCTGCGGATGTGAAAGTTTTCTGTAGCTCGAGTGTGTGTGAGTGCGTTTAACCGATGATGACGGATACACGAGGCTGCTGGGTAGACTGGGGCTGCAGTTCATGACTGGCATGTTCGGTCCAAGTGCCTCCATCGTAGCCTCCGCTCGCTGCTTGAGCTCTTCAGTGGGTAGCCTCACACCGCTCTGGATCTGAAAAGAAGAGGACATCTTTTATTTGGACAACCCCAAGAAAAATATGGAAGTCTTGAGCAGCAACCCCTGATGTAATGGACTAAAGGGTAGCAGGCAGTAAGGAGGGGAAGACAAGAGAAAACCTGAAGGAGGAAAAAATTCAATTAAATGTCTGGATCGGAGAAAATACTGTTTTAGTTAATAGCATTTTCTGAAAGCTACAGAGCAAAAGGTTGCCCCTAATAAACAAAATACACAGCAGTTTCTGTCATGAACATGCACAGTAGATAAAAATGTGTACAAAGGCTTCCCAGCAGCAGAGCGAAGCTGAAAATGCGCCTACCTACAACAAACAGTGACGCCTCGCTGTAAGCAGCAACAAGCACACGAAACTCCTGTAAAACTTTTCAGAAAGTTAAAAGTTCACAACTCCTGCAGGTTACTGATTAACTGCTCAAACCCAGAACACACCACGAATCCAGACAGACGAGCAGCCGGCGATCATCTCAGGTTGAGACACCAACCAAAGGTCAAGTATCTGCTTTGATCTTCACAATGAATCTAAAAATCTGACGGCCGCATGTTCAAGGTGAAGAGCGTTACGTCTGCTTTATAAAAACACAGCAGATGATGATGAAGGACGAACAGAACGTTTGTGTGAAACTTTCAGCTGTATTGCAACCATATTAAGCTGCGCGGCACAAATACTTTTACTATCCAACCGTCTGGTATCGATCCTCCCAACACTGATTCATTTTAGTGTATTGCTAACAACAGGGGCGGTAGACAAGCCCAGGCCTCCATGTTTACAGAAACCTTCTCCAGCTCTTCTTGCCAGCCTCATTTGCTGCTTCGCCATCTTGCTCTTTTTTTGATCATTACCAAAAGTTTATGTCCATAGGCGAAGACAGACAGGGACGTTAGTAAAAGTAATTCCATTTCAGTGTCGCTGCAGAAGCTGGACAAAATCTACGGTCGATCTCGGGATCCTTTTTCCCTCCACTCGGGAACAAGATCTTGAGTTACTTAAACTCATCCAGCTGCTTTAGATTCTTTTGCACCTGAGGCGAGCATGCTGCCGTTCTCTGGAGGAGAGATCTGGAGCTGCTCATCTGCATTCCAGCTGCATTCCGTGCTGGAGACCCAACGGCACGCATAAGAGGCGCTGGCATCCTGCTCTGAAGCATCTCCCACAGAATCCCTCAAGGGACCCGGTCATAAGCCTTCTTACTGCTTCTCTCACGTCACACATTTTGCTTCTGCCGCTGCAGCCGCTGCTGAATCCTGAGGCTCGGAGAGCAACTTCTTACAGCCTCCCTCATCTCTGGCGTCCACCTGCAGGACCTTCAGTTGCCACCATTAAGCTTTAGACCACAGCGCTGTGCAGTCACTTCCATAATGAAGGTCTCAGACAGGGTTCATTTAGATTCCATGTTCCCTACCAAGTGTGTCACTCAGGAAAAGCTGAGGTGGGAAGTGAAATCATTCAGAACAGTCTTCCACTAGTTATTCTGGTAGATTAATCGTAGCAACTGCTTGAGTTCCTTGAAGACGTTTCACCTCTCATCCAAGAGGCTTCATCAGCTCTGACTGACTAGTTGGGAGTTCCAGATATCCTGAAGGAGACATTAACACCTGAGTTACGGTTTCAGCTGGGGGTTTGTTGCAAGGAACTCAGTCAAGTCCAGGTGCTGCGATTCATCTATGAGAATAACCATGACCTGGATGATGGAGAATCTTCCACTAGTCTTTTCAGCAAAATCCCATCAGCTCGTTTGGGTCCAACGGGGCCGACCTTCACATGGGGGTCCACACATTTTTTTACATTCTCATCAAGTTACCGTCTTCAAAAACGATTATTTACTGCGAAAACAGCGAAGACAGCAGTGATGAAAGAGATCGTGCAACATTTGCTGTGGATTAGACGTGACGGCGAAGACAGACGGTTCAGACGGCATGGCTAACGACTACTTCAATGCATCACACTCGCAAAGATCAGTCAAAGTACTCAGCTGGACTCCCACATTGTCTGTGCTCACACGTTCTACTCTGATAAAAAAAGCAAATTTTACTGTACCGTAACAGCAGCACGCCTGCACCGTCAGATACAATAAAAACGCATGACTTTAACTGACCACAAACAATTCAAAGTTTTTAATTCAGCAACAGTCCTCATCCAGCCAGAGGGTGGTACTTTGAGGAAGAGACGGTTGAAGGAGAGAACGGAATAAAAAAAAAAAGGCTCCCATGCTGTTCAGTAATTGAAAAGAGCAAGAGGGGAGACAGAGGTGAATGAAGTGGAGTTAGTGGGGTGAGAACAATTTGAAGAGCCCAAAAAAAAAAAAAAAAAAAGAGGGAGGAAGCAAAAGAATCCAGGGAGAAATAGAAAAGAAAGTGAAATACTGCACTATGTATGCAAAAATGAAGGCGACAGAGCGGTCGGTGACAGAGTCCTGGCAGTGTGGGGAGGATATTAGCAGCTGCAGGCTTTAGAAAATCTCAGAAGGACTCTTCTCTACGACAAGATGACTAAGTGCAAGATGCAGCAGCTAAGTTTCACTGCCGGCCACTGGATCATATAGACACCCTGACACACATAGAGGCTGGAAGATGTGCAACGAGGTCGAGAGGCAACAACCGCGGGCTACAACTGTGACAAATACAAACGGATTCACGTGTGCTCGTTGTACGCAGTAGACACCTTTGCCAGGACTGGAGGTGAGGAGGCTCAAAGGAGGAACGGGATGCTAGAACTTCTTCATGAACTGAGGTTTCACTTTAGTCAGATAAACAAAACCTCTGAAAACTGTGAAGTTCAGCGTGTGCGAGTGTGGCAGGCTGGAGCGGCGGAGATGACACTGTTTGGAGACTGTTAAGAGAAGCATGTGACACTGAAGCCTGCCTCTCCTAATCTGCCTCAGTGCCTTCAGAAAGACACGGATACGTACGTAGTGCACACACACACAGTTCATCAATGCAGAGGCAGACACACACACACGAGTAGACGCACTCGTTCACACAGTTCACGATTCCCTGGAACACACTGCACTGGAAGCCGCAGTATGTGCCATCATTCTGTCACTCCTCCTGAGCATAGAGACTGGATGCACCCAATTTGTATTTGCAGGAGACTGAGCACAATCATCTTCAAACAAATGACCTGCAGCAACAAAACGTCCACCCAAAGATACACAGACGTGATTCCGACTTAAAGCTTTACAGCGATCGCATTTAATACTCGGAGATACAGAGGTGGTGAATTAATTCTCATAGAATTAGATTGGCTTCCAGGAGCTAGTTGTAAATTTAAATAGGATCGTGACTTGGCAGCTCTGACTGCAGTTACACATTCATTCCTTGAAGGTCTAAATGCGTGTCTCGGCTATTTCCGAGGCTGCATTCCTCACCTTAAACTTGCGTGTCAGGAGCAAATCCGGGGCTCACTTTCTTCAAGACCTGCTCCAGTGAAAATCAAGTTTTGTACCTTGTTAACATGTCCAACATGGTGTTTTTTTTATATGCTGGAGGACATATCATAAGCAAAATAAGCAGCCGCTGCCATAGCCGAGCACCTTGAAACCCGATACTTTATATTAGCTTTAACGCGGCGGCATCCTGAGGGGATGTGTTTTAATGTCATGAACTACTGTGGTGAAAAGATGACTGTTCATTCTTCTCCAGTCTCCTTCCAGCTCACGTTCCTCTTTACATTTCCTCTGTCCTTTCTCCCAGCCTCCATTCTTTACCCTCCATAGATTCAGACCCAAAATATTGCTGTTGAAAATCAAGTGTGCACCTTGCCGACACGCCCATATGGCTAAATGATTCCAATATTATTACTGTGTAGTGTAGAGTAGCTTCACAGTGTTGGAGCAGAGTCATGGCTGATCTGCAGCAAGTAGAAAAAACAGAGGCAGGGATTTCATAAAGAGGGACACAATGGTTTAGAGGCCATTGTAAGGGCTTCATGTAGGGGTCATCTTCATGGAAACATACCTCTAAATATGTAATTGTGAGTTTTGAGGTGTTTAATCGTTGACCAGAGGGGAACTTAAAAAGACACATGCTTGAGATGAATGTTTGATGAATAATACAGCGATTTGAATAATTCAAAAAGACTTGCTTGTTGCTTTTTCTTGAACCTTTAGACATCCACTGGGAGTTTTGATAATCAGTTGTGCATTTCCAAAGCAAACTATTAACCAGTGACCACAGATCCCAGAGTTATATTCCGTCTCTTTTTGAAACTGTGGTCATAGATTAGCCGGAATAAGCCGAGTAAACGATGCACTTTGTGAAGTCCCACGCAAAGAAATAACTATGGTAATGGGCATTTTGCTGCAGCTGTGAAACATGCTGGTATTTTATTTGCATAAACAAACCTGGCGCACCTTTTCCCCTGCTGTCTCCTTATTGCCTGCCCGCGCTGTTCTTCACAGCAAATAAAATTTCAAAGTGATATAAAACTACGTGAACCCAGCTAGTAGGAACTGTGTATGAGGTGATTCATTTTCTAATTCACTAGTTCAAGGACGTAGATATTCTCAGGTAACTTGTGGGTCTGTTGTTGTGAAAACTGTGTCCTACATTATCCTATCTGTGTGTGCTTACCTGTGTCAGAAGCAGCCTTAAGGCCTGCGCTGCTTCCTGGCTGAGCTCCTTCACCCCCCTCCTCTCCACCGCCTCCATCACCTGGAGCAGGTCGGGCTCCCACAGCACCGTTGTGCTGCTGTCCTGCAGTAGCTGCAGGGAGCACAAACAGATATGCAGATAGGTGTGCACAAGAAGCACAGCTCTTCGTAACAGAATTTCTTCATTGCTTTTCCAGTGTTTGAAGACTAGAGCTGGGAGATACAGCTGCAAAAATGTTTTATTTCTGTCCACTAGCAAAGGGGCTCCATTACTACCTTGAGATCGGCCGTTTATGAGCCAGAGGGAGAGCACGCTTGGAGTTTGTTCATGGAACTTTTACAGTAGAACTGGAGGTCAAGGCAATGCCATCTATACTAACTATCTGGTTAGACAGTGTGTTTCTGAGGACCAAATACAATAACCTCAGCTTTGTCTGAATTTTAATGAAGAAAATTACAGGTCATCCAGGCCTTTATGTCCTTCAGACATGTTGGAGTTTGACTAATTAACTGGCTTCATTGGTTTATAGATGAATATAACGGCATGTCATCTGCATAACAATGGACATTTATACAGTGTTTCCTAATAATGCTGCCTCAGGGGAGCATGTACAAGGTAAATAATATAGGTCCTAACACAGAGCTCTGTGGAACGCCATAACTAACTTTAATGTGGGTGGAAGAATCACCGTTAACATGAACAAACTGGAATCTGATAAATATAATTTAAACAAATTTAGCTTAGTTTCTTTAATCCTAATAATATGTTCAATTCTCTGTAATAAGTTGCTGTGATCAGCTGTACCAAATGCAGTAGAACCAGTGTAGAAACTAGTTCACTGTCTGAAGCTACTAGAAGATCATTCGTGGCTTTCATCGATGCTGTTTCTGTACTATGACTCCCTCTAAATCCGTACTGAAACTCCTCAAACAAACCATTTCTGTGCAGATGGTCAAGAACTTTAGAAACAAAAGGGGGGTTGGATGTTGGTCTATAGTTGGATAAAACACCTGGATCCAGAGCAGGCTTTTTTTAGAAGTGGCTTAATTGTAGCATGTGGTAGTAAAGAGAAGTTGATGACATCTAGCAGTGTTCACTGAAGGAAAGACATCTTTGAGCAGTCTAGTTGGGATGAGGTCTAAGCTCTGAGAGGTTTACAGCAGAGAAGCAGTACGGTTCTATAGACGCTTCCAGAGCTGCTGCCCCTAAAGACATGCTAATGATCGCTTTTTTTAGATGTGATAAAACTGTCTTTCCAGGCTAGATGAAATCCTTCCTGAATTAGTGAAGCACCACTGCCTTTCCAGCCTTTGTGAATTCTGCTTTAAGATGCTCAGTTGCTCATTACACCACAGAGCTACTTTATTATAACGTATTGCCTTCTTTTTAGTGTCAATCCATGTAAAGCTGCAGTCCTACCAACAAGATTATCCACCCGTATGGGACTAGCGTGGCAGGAGTTGCTCTCTATTGTGTTGGCGTATGGAATCATAACCACCGTCATCACTAAAGCTCCTGCCATCTGAGCCCCAATAATGAACCCTGTTTGACTTTGATCTTTCTCCCTTGTAGTCTTGATACCAAATGAGACTCAGCTGTTGAACGACAATCTTCAATAAAATGCGTATCCCAATTCTGACCAGGTTCGCAGACTACTTTCCATTTTTCGGACAAGGCCTGATAGATCTACGCTTGTTGTGTTCTCCAATACACTCAGTGTGGCACTCCAGATGGAAGCTATTTAAATCAGCAATTATATATATCTATATAAAAACAGAGGAAATCTGTAGTTTCTGGGCTGCTTAACAGCAGTAAAGTATCATCCATGTATCAAGGTGCCTTGTGTTTTGCCCTTAAGCCGTGTCTCCAATATTGATGTGACCCCTAACGGCTAATGCTAGCGGTTAGAGCGCCAGAGTGAACATCAGAGGAGAGAAGATGCAGCCCTATTTGGCAATGCGTAAAAGTTTTAAAGGGATAGACTCGGGAGGTCAGACGCCCTCAGGCCTTAATGTAACAGCTTTAACCATGTAATAGATGAACTACCAATCCCAAAGTGTTGCAGACATATACTCCCATCCAAGTCTACTGAATGCTTTGCCTGCATTCGGAGAGTAAGCCGCCATTGTTTATTTGTTGTGCAACATGTTACAGCCGATGTAGACGCTGTGCTGTGACTCCGCCGACACCCGAGTCTTGATGAATGTCACCTCAAAAACATGAATCATTGCAAGCAGGTACGTCAGACAAAGTTTTTTTTTTTTGGCGCACAATTGCTGGTGTTTACCCTCCTTATGAATTACTGTGGAACGCATCTTGAAAGGCAGCGAAAAGCCTCGGGGCCAACAAATTTGAGAACGCCTTATAAAAAATCTGTGGGGAATTCATCCCTCCAGAGACTTCCCAGCACCAAGAACATTAATTGCTTGTTGGATGTCCCCTAAGGTGATGTTTCCCCCGAATGCCTCTGTAGCTGGTTCAGAAAAAAAACTGGCAATCTAGTCATAAACAAGAACTCCTCACTACTCCAAGTACCCTATAATGTATGATCTGAAAGAGTTTTTTTTCTATCTATCACGATGTCTCCTCCTTCCTTCTTCTTGCCAGGATAAAAGTTTGGATTTCTCCTTCTCCTCCTGCCTTGCTGCTCTGTTCACAGTTTTTCTCACCGGCATCTCAACACTGAAAACTTTGCCCTCCTGTGAATGATATTTAATTCAAACTTTGCCGTGCCCAGAGTACCAAACGCTGTCTGGTCCCTTCTGTCCACCGATTTATTTAAGTCTAGTATTTCAATTTCTAATTTCGCTCGCCTGTTTTTGAAAATATTAGGACTCTATTATGTTTCACGCTACCCTTCGCCTTGAATTCGCCCAGGGCCACTCCTGGATTATTTACCGTCCATTCAACAGTTTCACAATATTCTAATATTTACCGTCTAATACATCATTTTGCAGCTGAGTTGTATTAAAGCTTTAGCAAGTACAGCATGTTCTGTTCCAATCCTGCACAGATTCATTCATTACCAGATACAGGAGAATCAGACCGAATATTTTGAAGGACCTGAAAAGAAGAAGAGGAGCGATACAAGGCCGTGAAGTGATTTGATATCGTGATTAAGAAAACTATTGTGCGAATGTTTTGAGGTGCTTAAAGCGAGGAGGCTTTTTAAAAAAAAATACTGTCTTGAATAGCTGTTATTCATCCAGTAGCTTCACACAACGAAGAAAAATCCAATCAGTGGGGTGTGAGCGCCTCTAAAACAGCACACATTTCGTACACTTTCGAGCTCTCCCCATCTCCACTTTGCCTTTTGTTTGCACCCGTTTGTCCTCAGTTTGTGTGTTTGTCCCTGAGTGTGGCCACTTCGTTCACTCGATGCGCCCCGCCTCGTCACTCCACTTCTCACCAGGTTGCTCTGCCTTCTCGTTGGTTGAAACAGATGTAGGAGCTGCTTCAAGGATCAAGGTGCACCACAAGGTTCCGATGTCCCCCCGGTTGCCTCATTGCCAGTTTGCTCCTGGTACCGAGCTCTAGCCTGACTGCTACTCAACCTGCACGATACCACATCCGCCTCCTCCATCTACAAAATGCTCAGTCAGCCGCCCACCGCGTTGGACACCGTGCCAGCTTTTGGGCACCACGCACTTTGAAATTCCCACACCAGTAACTCACCTGCAGCAGCCTCCTCGTCTTAACATCCCCTGGCTCTCCCTCTCCATCACAAAGGCGATTTCGTTGTAAACCTCTTAGAACTGTGCAACTGACTCTGTGTTCTGCGTTTGGGTCCAGAAAAGCCAAAACAGGTGCTTGGCAGGTTGGTTTTTCACGCATCTGGGAAAACTTGCCAGAGTTCTGCAGTGGGTTTGGGTTGCCTCTATGTTGTCTGTTTGTATAATCCTCTGCCTTGAAAATGCTTAGATCAGGGCTCTGAATTTAGGACTGACCTCCACTGGCCAAGAATCTAAACATCTCAAGTGCCTAAGCATTTTTTCATAGTATTGCATACAATTAAATTTGCAGTAATGTAAAAAATTAAAAAGATTTTGGGCAACAGCTGACTAGTACCTCCAACTGGTTCCACTATTTCCTAACATGCCCTGAAGTGAGTAATAAAATAAAAACAGGCCACAGCTCACAACAGACAATATAGTCCTAATTTTTCTTTCAGTTTTATCGGGTTGCATTGTGAATGTCTGCTTAACACTGCTTTGTATTCACTCTGATTGAAATACTTGTATGTTTTTATTACCTTCATTAACTTTTAATACTTTTAATATCAAATATTTATTACTACTCAGGAGCATGCAAGAAATTATTCTTGATTTGACTGATGTGTGTGTGTGCGTGTGTGTGTGTGTGTGAAATCTCACAAGGGTGATGAGTCTGAGAATGGCAGGGTGCAGAAGGCAGTTCTCTCCTGAGCTGAGCAGGCAGCGGAGGAGAAATCCACTCCACGGTTGACACACCACGTATTTGGCTAATACACACACAGACCGACACAAAACAAATCCAAGGGGGAGAGAAAAAAAATTACATGTTAGGATGCCTGACTTAGAACATCTCTGTTTCATTTTACTGTATTCCTTCTGGTGCAATTAGTGAAACTAGTTAACGTCTGAGCACAGAACGGACGTGTAAAAAAACAAACACGCACGCTGTAGTTGTGAAGATGGAGAGAATATGGGAAAAACAAGGATGTAGATGCAGGTAGAAGAGATCATCTAGGAGTTTATTTAGGTAAACGTAGTATTATTCCATGGTAAAGATGCTTTTTTGCAAGTAAAATTCATTCATCTTTTATCATTATTGAACATTTCCAGGCATGTAGGGTGGAAGTCATCCTCTATAAATACACAAATGACTTATTACAAATGCATTTTTTGTATTATCAATAATTACAAAATTGCAATGCATAAACCAACTAATTACACCAGCTTATACACATGTAGTTGAGTAAGAGATGAAATATGTGTGGAGTCAATTAGCAGAAAATAAAAACACTCCAGTACCACGACCTTAAAACTGTACAGTACTCACTGCTTTCCAAACTGGCAATAGCAGCACTCATACCGTCTCTTATCTCCCCCTCTAATGTATACATTTGTAATTGTTTTTTGTGGCTCTCCGTCTTTGGGTGCAGGCATAGATTATACACACTCACTCTTTCCCTGCTTCTGTGTTTGGGTACCTGTAGTGGGACTCTTCCTCTGAACGAAGCCCAGCAGGGAGCTTAGACAGTTGACAGAGGCTCTCAACAGCAACTCGTGCTTCTGAGAAGAAAGAGACCCAGCGAGCAAAAACATGAGAGAGAATTCAAGTATACAAAAAAGGGAGGAAGAAAAATAAAATATCTTCCAGCTTTAAAATGTGATATCATTAAAAGTCACGGGAACCACAGCAATGCGACGTGTGCGCTCTCACTTGGCAAAAATGGGAACAAACACAACAGAAATGATGCAGGGGGAACGGAAACATGCACATATATATATATCTACACGCACAGACACATGGACAGAGATGCAGCCAGAAACAAAAGGGAGAACAAGGGAACACCGAACACAGCAGCTGAGTGAGGTTTTAATAATGCATGTGTCTCCCACAGTGGCGGGGCTGACAGTGAGCACTATGTAGTGTCCAAAAATACTGAAGTAGGGCAGGCAGATATATAGACAACAGTGGAGAGTTGCACCCTAATCCATAGGCAGGAGAGGAGGAGGTGGCAGAAGAAAGGAGTCAAGAGGATGAGTGGGAGGGGAGGAGGGAGAAAAGAAGGTGAAGCCGGTAGAGGTAAGAGCAAGGACAGATGAGGGAAGGCAGATGGGGACACGAAGATGAAAGGAGACGCTAAAATAAGAGGAGAGGAGACGAGAGGACAGGAGAGGAGGGAGGAGAGGAGGAGAGGAGCTCTGGAGCTGCAGCGTTTCCTCCTGCCGCTGAACCAGCGCATCAAGAGGAAAGAGAGCAAAACAGAGCAGAGAGAAGGGAAGCCGGCAACTGTTACTCATATCAGCTGCCGAACAGCAGACTCCGGAGCACTGAACCATAGAACTGAAACTCAGTTCAGCAATAGTCTTTTACAGAGAGGAAATGCTGCTGGTGTGGAACCAGAGACTGGCATGCTGCAGCAGTGGCAGAGAATAAGAATGAAATACAGGCACAATATGCAATTAACCCACAGATTCACAAATTTGATCCAGCACAGTAGATCAATACAAAATACCGTTCATGGTCTTTTTGACCTGTTGCGTTTTACCTGAACCTTCTTTGAGATTAGCCAGATTTTGGACCGTATTGGTTTCTGCCCTGTGCTGACAGCCAACCCACACAGGAAACGCTCCACGTGTTCAATGTGAAATGAATGCTCAGTCGGTTGTAGTAAGCAACCAGAGCCAATACACCGGCTGCATGTGATAACAATTCGAAGACAGATGCAATTGCAGTGGATACGTGTGGCATTTCATTATGCTAACTGCTAAATCAATTGGAATCTCATTTTCTACACAACCTTGTTTGTGAAAGGCACGTTCAATGTCAGGCTGTAAAGGTTTTAAAGATTGCCTTTATGCTACCTCTGCAGCAGAATAAAAGCGCGAGTGAAAATAATTGCATATGTATTTACGGCCTCGTCTGTGTAAATAATGGATTTTATGTTTGTGTATTTGATGATGGACGAACACTGATAATGTCATCGTGATGGTTTGGTATTTAACTCATGGAATGAACCTATCTGCACATACAGATGTTCTTATTGCATTTGCTGCATATGTAGACGAGAGAGGACAGCATTAAAGCAGAATCCCTTTGTATTATGTTCCCCTGCTCACCATTAAAGATACCGTTCTATGATTAAATGTCCAGCTTACTCTCCAACCAAAGCATTTGGTACTGGAGCACTCCACCTTTCATTGCAACACAGGAATTTACTGTAGGTTGTTCTCTGTTAATTCATGCCCTCCATAAACAAGAATTGTGGGAAATGCAATGCCGCAGTGGTAGTCCCGGGAGTTGACTCATTCATGTTGTGAAGTAAAATCCATATTGCACTTAAGACGATTCAACAGTACAAACAACTGCACTATCTGTACCCATATTTACAATTTTACCGTATAAATGTTAGTTTAATGGTCAAACACGACCAAGAATGTGTCTCCAGTAATTGACGTTTTCCTAAATCTCCTCTGTTTGCTTTTTACGCTCGCACACACACATAAAAAACAAATCCAAAGGGAGCAAAGTGGCATGTTAGAATGCTTAACTTAGAATAAATCGCTTTAATTTTGCTGTATTCTTCCTGGAGCAATTACTGAAACTAGCTAATGTCTGAGTACTTACAACAAGCAAACGACACATAAAAAACAAACAGCGATGATGTATTGGCATTGCATGGATATGTATGTCGAAGTACGTCTCCATGAGGCAGCACCGTGACAGCTGTGGACTGGCTCTCTGATGCCACAACAGTAATTGCATATTAAAATCCACATGCATGCACATTGAAGTGTATACAAACATGCACACACACGCACGAACGCACACCCACACACAGTCGTGTATCTCTGACTTATTATATTGAACTTACATTTGTTTCATGGAGATTTGTTCTGACATAAATATAAATACATGTCAAATCCTAACCTTGAAACATGTGTTCACCTTAAAACAGAATGACTGACATGTAGATCTGCTTTTTGTCCCATAATGTGACTGAGTTAACAGATTTATGTCCTCATAACATGAGGAATACCTGCACCAGACACACACAGGCGCAGACTCACCTCAAAATTTAATGATTTGCATTATTGGGATTGCTTTTGTCTCCAGATGGGAGGCAGATCCCCACAACGTGAATGTGTAAACAGTCTGCACAGATTCCCACAACATAATTGAAGACCAATTCATGGTTTCAGCATCCCTGTGTGCTTACTGATGCGGACCTTGAAAGCGGTCAGCGGACGTGCACGCGTCTCTGTTCATGCTACAATGGATACGGGTCCGTCTGCACACACGAGGCTGCACTGCCTCTCACATTAAACACTGAGAAACACACAGGGCTCCTGTGTGTGCTTCCTGAAAGCCTGGCAGTGATCGTGCACTTTTTACGGGATAATGCAGCCACTTACAGATTGGTCTTGATTGTTCCTGAGGTGTGCCAAGCACAGTTAGTAGACATAGCACAGGGTTTATAGCGAATTTAGAACCTCCCACTGTGCTTGTGCATCGTCAATGGAAAGCAAGTAGCTACAAATCAAAGCCCCTAGAAGGTCAGGCAGGGACTACTTCAACTGCTATTCCTTAAATGATGAATTCTAATGGTGTGGATGATGGAGATTTGACTCACACAGACTCCTCTCATAACAAGCATGTGCTTTAACACATACATACGTGTGCAGTGCTTACAGGCCACACGGTCACAAATTATGGGCTGCATATGGACGTCTGCAGAGGGGTCAGCACCGAGGAAAGTTACGGACTCTTGCACACACGCGGATGCAGAAAGAGTGAATTGGCTTCAATACAATTGTACTAACAGACACATATCAGTACTCCAAAGAACTACAACCTGCAAAAGAAGTCCACTGAGGGCAGTTGAGAGGCTCTGGGCCCCTCTGGAGCCGAGCGGATACAGAGCACCGTCTTCGACCCCTAGGGGTTTGGGCCCAACCAGGCCAGGACCAGAGCTCACAGACACCACTGCGGATGCCAGGTCAGCATCAAGTAGAGCCTGCAGCAACCTCAGGTAGCTCACTGCAAAGAGAAAATGAGAGAGAGGGAGGAAAAGCAGACTGGTAAATGGCTGGAAAGGCAAAAGGAATTAGCAGAATGATGGAACGGCTCAGCACACAGGAGAGCCAGCGAAAGAGGAGAAGGCAAACAAATGTGGGGGCCCACAGGAGAAACAGATTCACAACACAACAGAAGGGAGTGAGCATGTGAGCATATAGAGTGGGAAGTGAAAGTTTGAAATAGAAATAGATGGTAAAAATCAAGTAGCAGAGGGAATAGAAGCGCAGAGGAGGGGCAGAGGAGCAGTTAAAAGGAATTGAGAGCAATTTTTGAATTAATATGTGACAGAAAGGGAGAGCAAGAAGTTAAAGATGTAGGTGCCAAGTATGAAAAGTGGGTGAGGCAGTGAGAGACAGGGTTGAGGGAAGTTCAGAAAGACTGAGGGTCCACGGTAGTGATGGAGATAAAGAGAGACAGGGTCAAAACTGCTAAAACCCAGTGGACTCCAAACTAAGAGCTGGCAGCTAGCTGAATAGCACTTATGCCATGTACACTGAAATTAGAGCTCTCTGAGGAAGAGTGGACTCAATTAGTGGCAGCAGAAAAGAGAGAGGAGAGACGGGGCAAAGCGACAGAGAAACATGAAGAGTGGGAAAAAAAAGAGGGTGGATTGGAAAGCGTAGGAGAGATAAAAACTAAAAGACAGACAGATCGTGAGGATGCTGAGTGAGTGAAGAGAGAGAAAGAAAGAGAGACAGTCAAGCAGAGGCTGCCTATGCAGCTAATACATCACAGCGACCCTGACAGGCCACTTATCCAGCTGACAGACAGAGACACAGGAGCAGCAGGGATGATCTGTCTCCAAGTGCTGCAGTGGGATGTGGGCCACTTAATATAATGAAAGTGTGTGAAATGCATGCCTGGGGTTTGCTTACCTCCACTGAGGGTAAAACACTGACAAACTGTTACCTGTGCAGGAGTACATGTGAACCAAACCAAAAAGGAGGTGGATCTCATTAGTATTATGGATGCTTCAATCTAATCTCAACAGTCTAGATCGAGGCCGATCAAAGCTTTAATCAGCCGACTGTTACGTCCACAAACCTCAGTCTGTTCCTTACATCTGCTGTCACAAAGGTGGCGTAAAGGGAGAGTGCAATTTGTGGCAGAATACTAGGGATAGAAAATTTGAATAGCTTTTTTTATAAATGCAGAATTATCAGTTCATATTTATTTGACTGATAACTGAGCACAGTGGACATTTGTGCTGTGCTGTTTCAGTCTACAGACACATGATATGGTCTTTGTTTTTAGGTTTGTTTTAAACCCATGAGCTCATTAGGTGTCACAGGAGTCTTTGTCTTGGTGGCCCGTTACTAGCTAAACCACCACGATGCTCTTCTCACCAACATGGAACATGTCATCCATGTCCTCTGGTCGCTACAGTATTTAACACCAGCTACTAAAGCCAATCTACTGTATCTCAAGTGTGCATTATCTGGGAAAATAGAATCGGATCAGATACGAAACAATAAATGATTCAGATCAAGGAAAAAACGTTGACTGGGACATCTCAAATGAATACTCTCTGGTTCAGGCGGCGTATGGACAACTGTCGCAATAACAGCGGACGCCTAACACTGCTCAAGACTGCACGAAATTCTCCTTCTTGGTTTTACAAAACCTCTAATGTGTCTGTGATTGCTTCGGGCCAAAACGAAATTACAGGAAGGGTAAAGCTGAAAATGGAAAGGGCAAAAACACAATGGAGAAAAAAATAGAAGAAACCATGAGGTGTTCACAAATACAGAAGATCCAGCAAATACACTTTAGTATTTTTTGGTTACACACTCTTGCTATAGGCGTACATGGCTCTCACATTGTTCTGAACTGCTTTGGTATGTGCCGTCTGCAAGAGTCTTTCAAAGCGCTTGAAAGATAAAATACTGTGTTTGTTACCCAGCAAGAGATTGTCTGTGTTTCTTTTCTGAACGAGGAGTCGCTGCACAGTTGTGTCCAGACTCCAACTGATGCTCTTATGGACCTTAAATAACGCAGAGAGAGAGAGAGAGAGAGAAAGGAAAAGTAAGGGAGAGAGGGGGAAACCAGAGGTAAGACAAGATTAGGACCAAAATCATTGCAAGTGAGAATTCTTTATCCCTGCAAAGAGAGCAAAGACGAATGTGCATTGTTTTTTTTGTTTTTTTACCACAACCTCACTGTGATGTGTATCAAACAAATCCAATTGGCGTTTTGTATTCTGCATCCACGTCTGAATCAATACTCTGTGTTACTGTATGTTCCGTGTCTTGCCCTTGACTGTGTGAAGCTCTGTACTAAAGTTGTGATAAGAGAAACCCTGAGCTGTGGTGTGTACCTGAGCGGAGTGAACGCGCTGCAAGGTAATGAGGGAGGACAGGAGGAGATGGCAGCAGCACAGCAAGGCCAAAGGAGGACAGGGTGGTGGTGGGGAGAGGGACGGGGCACAGGAGGAGGAGGAGGAGAGGACTGTCTGCAGCTGGTCCATCAGCCCACTATTGGAGAGCAGCATGGAGACAGCTGGGAAGGAGAAGGCACCGTGTCATCACACTTAAAAATGACCCATGTCACTGTTCTGTCAGTGCTGCAGGTACACAAACAACATCGCAACCAAAAGCACACTTTTACTTTCCTTTGGCACCAGTGAATTATTTTTTAACATTAAATGGCAAATGGTCTGCACTTAGCACATTTTTAACTTCAACTTGGTTCCACAAAGCACTTCAAAGTGGCTGCCATTCACCCATTCACACACTCACACACACAGCTGTCATGCAAGGTGCTTTGCTGCCATCAGGAGCAACCTGAGGTTCAGCGTCTTACGACTGTCGATGCCTGAGGAACTTGTTAAACTGTACCGTTACAGTGATGAGCGTTTCTATTATTTTGTCCACCCTATTTACATCAACGAGGACAGGCTAAAGGACAAAAACATGTTTTCACAACCTCGGGCTGCCACTAATGAAATCGATTAATCTGTCAACTATTTTACAGATTGGTCGATTAATCTAAAGAACGACTTTTCCTCTCAAAAAAAGCAAAGTGACCGTTTCATCATAACCTGCAAAGCTGTGTGATTAAACTAGAAACTCCAACATAATCAAACTAAATAAAAACGAAGGCTAACTATTTAAGAACACATAAGTTTCTTGGCAAACCCATTAACAAAGTGAAAAAGATCTGTATATTAATCAAACGTGGACATTTTCCAGACAAGGAGCAGCTAAAGCAACTCTTTTTTTCTGTTATTGTGCAGCTGTTCTCTGTCTTCGACACTTGCTTTGAATTCCAGCTGAATTCACAGCTCAGCTCTCGTTTTTAGCTTCTGTATGGAGAGTGTTCGGTCATTGCTTGATATTTGTTCTGTTGTCTAACAATAAAAATAAAATAAAACATGTAAATGAGAACAGCTTCATTTGGAATTCAGTGGACAGAACGTCTCTCAGAAAGTGTTTTTAACAAAAACCTAACATTTGACCCTTCGTGACGGGAGGATTTATTACAGGGCAGCTGTGTTAATTCTATCTCGGTGCACCTTATACACTCACAACTGAGCGTGTCTTTAGATTTGGCTTAATTTTAAAGTGATAATTAGACTGCAAGGGCAAATCATTTACACGACCATGACATGCAGTGCATAGGCAGCCGACCAGGACAAGTCTGAGTACTCCACAAACTATAATTACGCGTTATTTCAAATCGGAATAGCCTGTGTTTTGTTTGGACACAGAGGAATGTGTTGCTATTCCTGTGCACGTCACCATCAGCTAAAACATTGTCTAGCCTGAGGCGGGAATAACTAGCATCAGTTAAGTCACCACTGGTGACAAAGAGGGCAAAATATAGGCACCCCAGAAGAGAAGCAGTAAAGTAACACTATGGGCATAATTAGCTCTGCTCCCCGACGGTCTCCCTGCTGTCTGGCCCCCAGCTTCACCTTATTAACTACAAACCGGCTCGTCGCTGACCTCCACTGAGTTTGTTTCCCTCAGATGCTCGAGCAGGGACACTATTTAGGCTGTGAGAGAATCAATCCAATACATGTCTTTGGCAAGAGGCAGTGTACTGATTCAACATGTCTTTAATCACCCTGCTGTCACCGTGAGTAATGCTGTAAATTCAGTTATTAATCTCCACGGTGGAGATATTTCTTTTCTGCTTTGGCTCATCGATTTTGAGTTTGCTGAGAGATTTAGAAATAGATATCTGATAAAAAGCTTGAGTGGAGTCCATCTGATAGATCTGTGAACTTACTCTACATACTACCGTGTGTGTGAGTGCTTCTGTTTGCATGTGCGGTTTAGCTTTAGCAAGGTGACAACTCCACGTGATGCTTTTGTACAAATGTGTGAGAAGCTCTCAGACTTGACAACGAAACCAAAAATAAGCATCTGAGACGACGTGCAGGAACGAGAAAAAAAACATAAATCTGTGTACCATTATGTAAAGTTGTACAGCTGGCGTGGTTATTTCTTATGTGCTCCAGAGCTACGCGGATCAAGGTCGTCCTTTCAGTCAAACAAGGCAAAAGCAAGTGAAATAGAGAGACAGAAAGAGAGGAGAGAGGAGCACAGCGACACACAGGGCGAAGAAGGTAGAATGTGTGACGGATGCAATGCAGAGGGAGGGAGAGAAAACGCACACACACACACGGATAGATGGACAGAAAGGAGAGAGGCGGTAACTAAGTGTGCCTAACCTCTGTCAGTGCAGTGTGCAGGGGGCAGACTCAGGCAGCAGTACAAGTAGCTGAGGGCAGGCAGCAGGCTCTCCGTGTTCGTAGGCTTCAACCTCGCTGCTATGTTACTCACTGACACACACACACACACACACACACACACAGGGCATTGCAATGAACCACATTTACTTCCTGGAGACATATTATTAGCATAGCAGCTATTTGCCTAATTCTTATCCTCAGCTTAATCGCCACGTTGAGGCGCCTTTCAGACATGATGGCATCTGAACCTGTCTGTGTTTAGGAAATCGTAAATAATCTGCTAGTTATTCTGACATCTTAATCAGCTTGCTCTTAGTTTGGGCGTTTCTGTATTTTGTTATTGCATTACTATGCGTTATACATCACTAGAGGTCGTGTAAACCCTCCGTCACTGCGGTGAATGAAATGCTTAAAGCGACCTGGACGTGTCCGAATGACAGAATGCCGTCACTTTAACTGACTGATGAACACAGCGGCTCACTTCTCTACCTAATATATTATCTGTGGTGTTCGCATTTGATAAGGAGTTCACATTCAAGACAGACAATCAGACATGATGTGATGTAACAGATAAAATGTGACAGGATGAGCTTTATCATGTACTGCCTGCTATGCAACGTCTCCCGCCGGTCAGTCGAGACCGGATTTAATTGATCTGTGAAAATGTCAAAGATGATGGGCTGGAAAGTCCAACCAAACGCCACAGGATGATGTTCCACTAATGCAGTAAAAAGACTAAGCGGTTAGTCACAGAGGGTTTCTGACATCAAGGCAAAAAGCAAAGAAAATTGGATTCTAGTCGAGCTTTAAAGTTTGATTTGGCCAGATACGTCAGGTAAACTTCTGAGCAACACTTTCATTTGCAGATCAGCAGAAAGTGCTCCTCTGAGTCTGTTTGTGATGATGATACGAAATCAAAGATGAGCAGGGCCTCCTAGGAAGAGATACAGGAAACTGTGCAAGAAGTCAGCAACAACAGATCAGGTGCTGAATATAGAGACATCTCACTGGATGACTACGTGACTGTAAGGGCTGACCATGAAACTTAAAGCAGTCTGTATGCACGACTGAAAGAACTATATGACTGTTATGGCATTTCTGTGCATGTAAGAAAATGTTTGCCTGTGTGGCCATGATGTACCAAGCATATCATTAAAGCTGCCTCTAATCTAGGGGGTCTGCTTGAATGCTGATAAGACAGATAAATGCTGTGTGGAAGGGAGCTGACCCGGCAGCAGCACCTTTCGGCCTCACCGTGGTAGAGCAGCTTGAAGTGCGCTCCTTCCATTTCACTGTAGGGGGAGTTTGAGGGCGGGTCACAGGCCTGTGTGACACAAAGCAGCTTCAGCAGCAGAGGGAGTGAATTCACTGCTGCAGAAAGAGGGCAGGAAACAAAGCAGAACTGTTAAAAAAAGAAAGTGTGAAAAATAGGCTGGAGACAGTGTGTCTGACAGAGTGGAGGTAAAAGGCTGCTTGACATCCTGAATCAGCATTTCATCTCACCTCATTACTAAGTCTGAAACATGATGTTCCCAGAGTATTTGTCAGCAAAGCTGGAATAGAGGGTACAGTTCAAGCTGACACTGTTCAGGGAGGACTTTCTTAAAACTCCAAAACCCCCCAAAACTGCCAGTGCGTTTGAAACACATGGTATATATGAAGAATTGGCAAAATGACACCATTCACGAGAAACTGTAAAAACACTGAACTAATGGAACCAGTCACACAGAACATCCATCCATCCATCCATCATCTCTACACCTTAACCCTCACCAGGGTGGTGGGGGGCTGGAGTCTATCCCAGCTGAGTCAGGGTGAAGGCAGGTTCACCTGGACAGGTAACCAGTCTATCACAGGGCTACACTTAGAGACAGACAACCAAGCACACTCACATTCACACCTACGGACAATTTAGAATCACCAATTAACCTCAGCATGTTTGTGGACTGTGGGAGGAAGCCGGAGAACCCGGAGAGAACCCACGCTGCACGGGGAGAACATGGAGACTCCACGCAGGTGTCCTCACCGGGATGTCAACCAGCGACCTTCTAGCTGCGAGGCAACGATGCTAACCAACGTGTAGTTGCAAAAATAAAAGCAAATCTAAGCTTAAAATCATGATTATGATCTACTTAAAATCGCTTTACAAGAAATCATGTGTTAGAAATTAGGGACTATTTTGCAGAACCCTGCTGAACTTCAGGTTGCGTTTCCACCGAGCAGAAAGGAGACGAGTGTGGCAGCAAATTAAAAATGTAAAATATCTACAGCAAGAAGAGCCACCATGTTTCCCTCCAGTTTTATTAACACCTGTGGACACATGGAAAAATGCTGTACATGCTGATTCTAGTTTTAAAAAAATATTCGTAACTAATCCCAGAACTACTTTTCTGTTTTTCTTTTTCGTACGATTCATGTCGTTACACCTTTGTTACACAGCATAAAAGACCTTTGTGAGTCCTCTGTACTCGTAGCTATGGTTGTGCTGTTTCCATAGAGATGCAGGACTTTATACTGCCGTGAGAAATGAGCTTAAGGTCAGTAAAAAAAATAAAATAAAATGACAGGAGTGAAAATACAGCCAGAAACTTCTTGGGGTTCGGAGGGTTAAACAAAGGAGAGCAACCTGCATTGACTTGTGGACTTTATGAAATCCTGGCTTGCAGTGCAGAACAGTCACCTATAGGGAATGGCTACGGCACACAGTAATCACCAGGAAGAGGCAAGATGAGGAAACTCTATTTACTCAGAGATGTTAAAGTCTCTGGGATCATTGATTAAACTTCTTTTTCCATGAAAACAATCCCTTCCTTCCTTTAAATGGCTTAGAATAAACTCTACACTGTTGCTGCTCTAGAATGGGCAGATCTATAAAGCCCACATCTCATCTCTCTCTCCATCCACTCCTGCTGACTTCATGCAACACCACCCTGCAAGCTAACAGGGTAGGCTTCTTAGATTGTTTAAAGTATGAAAACCTAGAAGTCTGAATGCGTGTTTTTGAGACTGTAACTACTGTTTCAAGGTGCAAATGCTCAGTCATGGCTTATTTTTCTCACAATGTGTCTTCTAGCATATAAAACACCACCATATGGATATGCTAACAATGTAAAACACTTGATTTTCATGCACACTTTGCCCACACGCTTTACCACGCACACTCTAACTACTGATATTCTCGGTCTGGCTCCACGAAGGGGTTAAGGGTGGAAGGAGCAGGCAGGGAGAAAAAAAAGAGAGAGGGAGCGTGAAGAGGAACTCGAGGTGAAAGGAGGCAAAGGGCAGGAGTACTCTCACAGGAAAGAGACTGGAGAAAGATCAGGCAGAGCAGTCATCTACATACTCCTTTCACCACTGTAGTGCATAACATTAAAATATGTTCCCTCGGGATGCCGCCGCATTGAAGCTAATATAAAGCATATATTAATGCAAATTACAGTGGGCTGAAGTGGAACACGTGCAGGGATAACAGTCTGTAGTCCCCTCAGGGCCCGGGATGAGCAGAAAGCAGGCAGAGGCTAACCACAGCAACAGTTCCTGAATCCCCAGCTGGCACCCTGATGTTGTGCCCTTCAGCTGTGCTCATTAACCTGGTCAAGTATACAGACATAATAATACCATCTGGCAGACACCTCTACTGAAAGCACTGCACAGCACCCAGGACGCATGTGTGAAACTGAACATGTACGACTCCACAAGAGTCAAACCAACACTGAATAACTGCGACTTTATAAATAGCACACAGTCGTGACTCGATGATCCAACACTAAATGTAAAACCTTCTTCTATGTCGGATATCAAGGCTGTCGGATTGTCCAGACGGAGGTCCAGATACGAGGAGGGCTTGATGCTGGAAGGCTCATTAGTTGTTAATATTTATTGTTTATAGTTGTTATAATAACTAGTAGGGCTGGTCCAAATAGAACTTTCTGCTCTCTGGATATTCAGGCCCAGTTAATGATGGGGGGACACTTCCACCACGGGGGAGCGCTCCGACTGGATGGAAGTGTCCAGAACACACAGGCAGTACTTGGCTGCTGATGCTAGTTTAGTTAGCGCTCACACTTCTGTTTCCTCCATCGGATAGCAAGGGTTTGGACTGTTAAGGGTCGGATTATCGAGTCACGACTGTATATATTTTTTAAAGCATCTTCACCTAACTTTTTCCAATTCCTGTCACAGTTTCTCATCCTTATCTCAAAATTCAAGATATATGTTTCTATAGAAGATTCAGTCGTCTGCTGGAAACATCTGAGAGATCAGCAGAGATTCAGAAAAAATTAAATATTTTTTGAGTTTTGTGTAATTGGTGATGATTTGACAACATCTGCAAATAGCAAGCAATAAGTAGAGTCTCAAATACTCTACAATACGGACAAAACACAATAGGTAGGCTGTTGGATTTAGCCTACCAGTGTCCAATCTGCCACTGAGTTTATCCTATGAGAATACAGCAATTTTACAAGTGAGCAAATCTACACATTTTCCTCTCTCAAGTACACAGCGCAAAAAACAAAACACATTGTCTGATAGCAACCTGAGGCAAACTGATACTATATTCTGTACAAAATAAATCACTATGGTTGATAAATGTCTCACATCCCGCCGTCTGCATTGTCAAAGCACGTTGGGATGATTTGTTTTTAACGAAGGATTAATGGTTCCTCCCGTCCTACATTAATAAAAGGAGACAGCGTTCAGGGAAATGTTTCTGCCATTTCAATTTGATTTTAAAGTAAAGTTTTCAGGAGAGAGAGGGTGTGTGATTGCATTTCAGTTGAAACCAGGTTTGCCTGGCAGGGCAGCCACATTAACTGTGTACATACAACCCACAACAGGAGATGTGAATCACACTGATCAGCTCATTGTACTGCAATGTTCTGCTGGAAACCTTTGGTCCAGCTGAGTTCGACTACCTGGAAAAGATATCTATGACGTCCTTCTGACTAGACTGGAAAATGACAGCTAGTAATTCATGTTAAATTAGTCAGAATGATAGCTGCAGACATCTCATATTGTTCTGCATGACATTGCTTGTAAAAGGTTTCCCATGGATACTGGTCCAGCAAAGCATCTGAACAGCAGGAGCAATGGCTGCTGTGGTGGATAAGATCAATAGAAAATGCCAAGAACTCATCAGAGAGGAGTTAGCAGAGAGTAAGAGCTTTGTTTCTCAGATACTTGTGGTTGAACTTTAGCCTCAGGCTGCTCTGACGTGACTATAACGCTGCTTGTCTTGTGCAGTCATGGTTGCAGCGCAGCACGTTTGAAAAGCAAGCCGCCACCACGTCCCACACGCTGCAGCTTCAGACGTCACGACACATAACTGCAGAGTAAATTAATCTAGTCAAAACTCTAGTTTGAGATATCTGCAACTGCATCTTGACAAGGCAGAATATCAGTTGAAGGTATCTACACCATTCCGACTACTTCAAATTCCATTTAAGATATCTAAGAAGGACGATGTCTTGAATTGAGGGAAATACAGGATATCTTAAACTAAAACTGCGACTAGTCAGAATGTCTGTGAAGGTCCTCAGTCATCCCGGTCATGGTTATACTCGTAGTTTAATCAACTGGACTTGCTTGAGTTCCTTGAGGACGTTCCACCTCTCATCCAAGAGGCTTCATCAGCTCTGACTGACTAGTTGGGAGTTCCACATACTGATATCCAACTCTCTCCAGGAAGATGAAACCACATCCACACCTAGCCACAATAGACAAACCCCACTGTGGCAGGGAGGAGCACTAACGACTCACATAACGAGGGGGAGGAGCAACAAACCCCCAATTAAAACCAAAACTCTGGTCTTAACACCACCTTAAGGATATCAATATGTGGAACTCCCAACTAGTCAGTCAGACCTGATGAAGCCTCTTGCATGAGAGGTCTTCAAGGAACTCAAGCAAGTCCAGTTGCTATGATTAATCCATGAGAATGACTAGTCGGGTAGCAACTGGAGATATTTCCCAAGCGGTAGTGGGAGATGCTCAGCAGGAATGAAAGGAAATCAACAAAGAGCCCAAGGTGTTGCCTTTGCCCCCAGAATCTTCACATCCCAGTCCAGCATCCCAAGCTCAATCTGCAGATTACCCATTTCACTACCCACAGGACCCGAAAATTTGTCGCAATGCTGCGAGACAACATGGGACACCCCCAGAGGTCAGGTGTCCATGTCACGATGGTACAGAACTGTCAGGATGCACCAAAACAACGTCAGGCAGGTGGTTTTAATGTAATGTTTAATCAGTGTCTAAAAAAAACCTAAACTGTTCTTTAGCTCAAGTACAATTCAGTCACTGTTTGTCCTGTAATAGGTGTTCTTAAGTGAATGCATTTAAATGAGTATGAGAGAAAAAACAAAAAAACCCAAATATCATTAAAAAGCTCTTCCATTGTCTCTTAATATGAGCCTTTGACTCAGAAAGAAAATGCTGCCGAGGACAACGACCCAACAAATATAAATCAGTACAGTGTTTCTCTCAAATACTTTTCTATATTCAAGAATGATTAAAATAAGTGTTTCCCATTAGGTTGTAGAAAACATAATGGGAACCACTGCTAATCCATGTAGAGGCCAACTAATATTTTACATCATTGTTTAAATTCCAGTAACATTTGTTGTGCTGCTCACTGCGACTGTCTTGAAGAATAATTAATTGTAAAGTTTTGAGAGATTTTGATCCGAATTTTTCTAAAAATGTGAATTCAAAAGCGTTCAAACGTTTCACTCGTCTACTGTTGTGACTCTGAGTGTCAGTGGCTCTTTGTGTTATGCTTCTTGTCAGTGCTAATGGTAGCGGGAAGGGCGTAGACAGCAAACCTGCTAATGATGTGTTTGGGACGACCAAGCCAAAGGTGCCTCTACCTGTGTGTCTGCGACCCGGCTGACTCCATAACACCGAAGAAAACGCTCTTTCTTGTTTTTTTGATTAGATGATACCGAGAGTTTATACTATATTTTATTAAGGCAGGCAGACAGACATTAGTGCCAAGACAATATAAAACTCTGACAAGTCTGTTTTTATTGAAAACTGGCATCCAAAACTTTAAACAATCTTGTCCTGGTCTCCACAGTAATCTTTAGAGTTGTTGCGTGTGTGAGGTGAAGTACAAAGTGTTGAATCGACTGAGTGACGTTAAAAAATATATATATTTATTTGGAAAAAAAAAAATCTTTTTAGTCAATACCGAGACATCTGAATGCAAACAGCTCAGGTGTGGGCGCTGCTGGCTGTTTATAAAGCTGATTTTTAATTGAGTAAATCTTTTAGTGTTTGCTGTGTGGGGAAAAAAACGACAGCGAGCATTTGATCTATTACGTTTCACAGCGTACGAGCTCACTGTGTGTGTGTGTGTGTACGATATATATTTATCAGTTTGTGCTGAGCAGGGAAGAGACAATTTCATCAAAAGCTTTTATTTGCTATGCAAAGTTTTAATGTGCGCAACTGAGGCAGAACAACAAAACGGTTCTGCTGCATCGTAAAAAGAAAACTGCAAGTTTTACTTTAATCACCTCGTAATTTATTGTATCTGTGCTTTAATGAGATGTAACCGAACATCAGGCCAAATCGGTTGACGTTAATCTTGATACACAACGGTGGATGCTGCCTTTGCTGATGAAGAATGGAGAATCATTTTTCTGTGTGAGGAAATAAATGCGCTGTAATGGTGGATTATGCAGCCCCAAGAGTCAGAAAGTAAATAAAAACCCCATCTGCTGAAAATCAAGTTGTTGTTTTTTAACTCGTAGGTATGTCCATATTGTGTGTTTTATATGCTAGAAGGCAAATCGTGAGTGGAAATAAGCAGTCGACATCATGACTGAGCATTTCTACCTTGAATCTGCAGTGTGCCCGGGACAGTCTCAGAAACACTAATTCAGACTTTTGGCGTTTCATAATTAACAATCAACCAATCCTGCTAATTTGCAGGGTGGAGCTTTCTGTATTCTTCTGCAGAATCTGTCTCTGGTTTAAACATCCATCCTTCATCTCTACACCTTAACCCTCACCAGGGTCATGGGGGGCTGGAGTCTATCCCAGCTGACTCAGGGTGAAGGCAGGTTCACCTGGACAGGTAACCAGTCTATCACAGGGCTACACTTAGAGACAGACAACCAAGCACACTCACATTCACACCTACGGACAATTTACAATCACCAATTAACCTCAGCATGTTTCTGGACTGTGGGAGGAAGCCGGAGAACCCGGAGAGAACCCACGCTGCACGGGGAGAACATGGAGACTCCACGCAGAAAGATCCAACCAGCGACCTTCCAGCTGTGAGGCGACGGTGCTAACTGCCCCTGGTTTAAACATGCATGGCTGAATTAACCCAGTATTTCAACTCTCCACTGTGTAGCGTAGAGCATAATTGTAGGTGAGCTTTTGTGCTCGAGCTGCCACCAGTAAGAAGAGTTGAGTGGAGAGAGAGAAAAGGGCTTCATAGATTCTAAAGGACAAATCTTCTGTATTACATAGTTATAGCTAAATTATTTTTAGTCAGTGATTATTCTTATCGAAAAAAAATCCAAATGTATATTTTCTAAGTATTACCAAACATTCCTGTGTCTAAACTTTGCCTTGATCTGCTTATGCTTAGAAGTTTAAAAAAACAAACAACAGCTGAGAACTGAGGAGAGGTTTTAGGTAGAACAAAAGTGGGTCCTGTCAGCAGAGGATGTAGTTTTTTATTGCCAAAAGACAAAAAAACAATTGTCAGTTTTATGAACCCAGAAATTGTTTAGAGAGGTAACGTGATAAAGTGGCACTACCTAAATAATGTGATTTAAACCAGAGGAAACAATACGTCTGAGTGTGTGTTTGGGTCTTTGTGAATCTGTATTTATGTGTTTGTGCATGTGTTAGTAATGTGTTTGATCTCATACGGATGTGATTAGCTCAGACTGGGTGTGGCTCAGGACACAGCTTCATCAACTGTTTTTGCAATTCAATACTGAAATCACACAATATGCTGAATGTTACTCCTTGATTGAGGCACATTAGTTTAAACGGAAAGAATTACTGTTATGACACAACGCTTCAGGCGCCATAAATGTATAACGGTGTGCAATTTATCTATGCATGACCCAAAGACAGTCGATACAGGTATAAATTAAAACTACTTTAATGTTTTAGCAACTCTCCATGAAGCTTTTTTGCTAAAAAAAAAATAAATCAAGAAAAGATTCACAGACACTCTGATTGATTTTAAAAATCCTCAAATACTTTAAAATTACAGAGAATCAGTTAATCTTATCTGGTCCATTTGAGAACATCTAATCTCATCTATGTCGAGTCACAGGACAGCTACAGATATCCCTGCACAGATTTCTGCCATTAAATAGTTTTTCTTGGAAGATGCAACAGGTATTTCTATAAATATATAATAATATATGTCTATAAACTTCTGGAGGATTATGTCTTACCCTGTGCAGTGTGTCCCTGTCCAAGCCGATGGCCCACGTTCTCCACACTAACTCGCTGCAGTGCCTGGAGCAGGGCTGCCCTAAGACTTGTACACAGGTCTGTGTCATAGTCTCTCTGCCCATGCAGGAAGACTTCCATTACACCCAGAACTCGCTCTGCCAGCGGAGCCTCTCTGGTGCAAACCATGTCCTGTAGTCACACAGGCAGCCAATTAAAAAGATTGGCACAACTTTTAATTCAGAGTATCTCTAGGTACCAGCAGTGTGCCGCAAAACCAACCAGTTACACAATGCAGGTTAAAGACAAATGGGACACAAGTTAAATTTTTGCTTCAGGCTTTACAAATAATTCTGTTTAGGTGTTAAACAATGCAGCACATTAGCCAGCATTTAAATATGTTTCCACTTCTACATGGCCAAGTTCTTAAACCTAAGCTGTGGTTCTCACCAGGAGGGTCAGAATGACAGCTGGGTGTTTGTCTATCAGAGTCAGGAGCTCCATGGTTTCCAGGTCTGGCTCCTGATCCTGTGCCTCATTTGCATGACTTTCTCTCTTCTCACCTTTCCTCTGCACGTCTGCCTGCACCCAGGAGTGAAAGCCAACCACCTTTTCGTCAATACTGATTTTAATTTGTGATAGTTCGAAGGGAATTAGAAAAAAAACAAAAAAAAACCAAAACACTCCAGTGAATCTCTAACAGTTGCCCTGTTGGAGTGAAATTAATTTGTGAAACTCGCTGGAATGAAACAAGTACAGGGAGTTCAATCAAAGCATTAACATTTTTTACTGTCAGATAGATGCGAGTCTGGGATAGAAGTGGAACAGATGTGCCCTTACCGTGATCTGCTCTGCATCTGGATGCTGCGCTTGCTTGGTCAACCAAAGCTCCAAAACCAGGGGCCCAAATTTATTTGCTAGGTCTGGATAGCCGCAGATGAAGTGGAGGAGCGCCGGATGGTGAAAGTAGAGGGAAGAGAAGCTTTGGCAGGAGAGAGCTTTGCTGACGCAGTTCAAAGGAGCCTTGGGTAGGACAGTATAGACAGACTGAAAGTGCTTCCTGTGAGATAAGTATGCCTATTCAAGTTAAAACATTTGCAGTTCTGAAACATTTTCTTCATAATTCAAATGCCAGAGTCCTTTTAAACCCAACCGATGCAGAGCCCTCAGATACCGCAAGAAGTCTCCTGTAATCTACTGGTTACTGAAGCTCATGGTAAACATAGTATTTATGGAATTTCACAGAGGATGTCTCATGTTATTTGAAATAATAATAATCATTTAAAAAAAAGAAACGTTATTCGTTCCCTGTAGGTTTAGAAAGAAGCTACCACATTGCTGCTGTGCCGTTCCCCACCTGCAGCCAATCACATGATCCCTTCTCCCTCCACCTACAAATAAGACCCTTGACATTTGAGAATACTTCAAATCCACCACCTGGGATGGATTCGCTCCCCTTGCCTTCACAGAGCAAGCCATCCTGTTTTTGCTAGAGAACTATGAACTCATACTTGGTGGTGCTGATTCGTAAATCCACCACTTTGCTCTAGCCAGCTGGCCCAGTGCCGGCTGGAGGCATACATGTCATGGTGCCATCATCCGCAAAAAGCAGAGACATCACGTTCTGGTGCCCAGACATAACACCCTCCTGACGTCAGCTGTGCCTTACATCCTGTCCATGAAAATCACGTACTGGAGAGGAGACGAGGCTCAAATGAACTTGACTCAGTGATCAGTATGGGGACACAGCACTTGGTCCAGCTGTATAAAGACCACATGGCCTGCAGGAGTGGCCCTGGCACCCCAGAATCCCAAAGCATCCCTCACAGAGTATTTTGAGAAACACAGTCAACAAAACACATCTAGAATGAAACATTGGTCCACTGTCTCATGGCCAGGAGGAAATCTGCATTGATCCTTCTCAATCTGAGGTTTAACTGTTGGCCAGAGTCTCCTTTTCCAGCGCCTTGGCAAAGACGTGCCCTGGGAGACCGAGAGGTGTAAAACCACACACTCCTTAGACCTCGTTCTTTGCCTGCTGGTACCGGATTTGCTTTCCCCTGAATCAACCAGCCCCTACAGGTGGAGAGGGAAGCTCATCACCAGGTTTCCACCATGTCTGGACATAACAGGCTTCTGACCACAGCTGCTTCGGTCTGTTTCCACGGTTATGGTTTTGAGCAGTATCCCCTCACTGGGTCTGAGGGATCTATCCATCAGTTTCCTTACAATCTCAGGCAATTCCCTACCTAGAGGTGATAAGTTCAGCTCATCATCTCACCTCATCTCAGACGTTCTCTGGTCAAATGAAACGTCGAGTCAATCACTGATCTTCGGCACAAGGAGCGATCGTACTCAGAACAATTATTGGATCCTTCAGTGTGAAGATGGTTTGTTACTGCCAAACCCTGACTAGCACAGAAATCCAATAACAGTTCACCAGTCAGGCAGCTCATTCTCCCAGTCACTCAACTACAGATTTCCCAGTTATTGAGCGTTGACGTTCCCCAGTGCAACTATGGAGTCTGTATGTAGGGTCCTTTCTAGAACCTGAACCACTGGCTTCAGGAAGGTCTTGCATTCTGAGTAGCTGTTGATGCTTATGCACACACAACGGTGAAAGTTTTCCTCTCTGAAACCTAAAGTCGCATTGAGGCCACCCTCTCGTCCATGAGGACAAACCCCAAATGTAATGCTGCCAGCAGAGGGCGTCTAAGTATCCTCCTACCTGCCCTCCTGAGGAAGAGAGGGACCCCCCCTTGATGAGGAGTTGGGCTTCAGAGCCAATACTGTAGGTGGCGATGAGTCCAAAAATCTGGCCAATACCTTCCAACCTCCTGCACCAGCTCCATCTCCTCTGAGCCTGAGTGGCTTTTAGTTTGTCAAAAGCCAGATCCCAGTGCAGGGGCTGGTGACGCCACAGGTTACCCCGCTCTCTCCAACAGCCTGAACGACACTGCACCTGCCCCATATGTTGGACATCGCGGGAGGTGGACCAACATGGTCCCCTCAACTTGCATTATTGACTGGGAGCTGCTCAGCCACCAGATGCCAGCTTTGGGACACCATCCCCCAGGTCTGACTCCAGGGGCAGGTCTCGGTGACTTTCTTCTGGGCAGGGTAAGCACTGTTTAGTTCACAGTCTCCATAGGAGTATTCAGAATTACTGTGATGAACAATACAGATTTTGTACCAGAGATGAATATACGCTGTCAAGCTTTGATCCTGAGTACTTTGTGGCCTTCACATTAATCCTTTTCATGCAAAATCATACAGAAGTCAGGCTCCAGTACATGCTGTCCTCTTTCTCTGCGCACAGGAAAAACATCATTCTGTGAACACCCTCGTCTTTATAAAATCTTAATATGGCACTACGCGTCAGTAAAAAAAAAAAAAGTCTCAAAGAAAATGATTGGAGATATTTTTTTTTATATTGCTGCCTCACAGAACAAAAAAATCCAATAGATTATTTAAAACTGAGGTGGACCGCTTGCTTTAGCTGTGAAAATGCAGGAGCAGTTCCAAAGCAGTGAAACAGCCTTCTTTCAATAAAATGTTCCCACTCCATTAATATTTTCAAGAAAAACCTCAAGACGTACATGCTCTCAATTTTGGTTGCTCTTCCTCCTAATATTTCACATTTATATCTAGTTTGGAAATATAGATATAATTATGTTTCATATTATTTATTAGATTGTAAGTCTGCACATTTTTTGCTGCCCATACAGCACTTTAGTCAACCCAGGTTGTTTTTAAACATTATATATAAATGCATTTGATTTGACTAAGCAGGTATTGTGGTGTAAGGTAAACAGGTACAAACACTGGAAATATATCTACATGAGCTTAATACTTGAGGCATTTACAAAAGGATCATGTTCTACAAGGTGAGGAGGTTTTCCTGAAAATCCTGAAACAGCTAAAACTGAACTTGTGCATTAGTTCTGACTGTGTACAATAGTCAGCTGATTTACTACTTTGGCAAGTCACACAATGTGTCTTGATTTCTGTTGTTGTGTGAGGTGATCAGAATTACCCTGTCGAGGCTGGGGTTCTTGTCCTGCGTCACCGCCAGCAGGTAGAGGGCAGAGCGGAGCACAGAGGGAGGCAAGGCACAGCTGCCCTGCTCCTGCACCGAATGCAACAGCCACACCACGCTGGAAAACACCGTCTGGTCTGGAAGGAGCCTGGATCACACACGCGCATACAGAAATGACGGTACTTCCAATATTACATGCTCAGATAAACGGGGGCCAAACATTTACATTGGAGCTTATGCAAACACGCAGACGGCAGACACATCCAGAATGAGGGGAATAAAGTGGTCAAACACACAAACTCCGTGTGCAAAGAAGAAAAAGTGCTTCAAGGGCATGCTGATGTCAGAAACTTTCTATTTCTCTTTCTCATGCAGAAGCAGACACAAACACTCTCAGTTAGAATGTATACCAAGGACACACACACTGAGTACACATCCGCTGCACACACCCCCAGCCCTCCCAAGCTGTGTAAATCTCTGGCCACATCTCCCATAATCTTGATGAGACCACACAGTGGCAGGGGGAGGTTTTCATCCCATTCCCCAGAGGGTAATGCATAGCCGGGTTTCCACAGAAGGACAGATTAAACTTTCCAAAGAGGCTGACGTACTGTATCAGCGAAGTAATAAAATATGTGTTTAAGAACACTCTCGGTTGGCCGCAGCAGGACTGCTGGGATAGTGAGAGAGCCACAGCGACACGTAAAGCCACCTGAATTTGTATTTATATGAATCTGATACTCAGCATGACACCAGCGTAGATATCATCTGGGACTTGGGTGATGTGTACACAGCGATATGTGTTATCTTACTGCTGGGCTGCGTTACAGCTGAGCAGAGTGCTGCTTCAAGTATTTTGGATGTTTTTAAAATTCAGCTGATGAAATCCATCCCATCCATCCATCATCTACACAGCTTAATCCACACTGGGGTCGTGGGGGGCTGGAGTCTATCCCAGCTGAGTCAGGGTGGAGGCAGGTTCACCTGGACAGGTAACCAGTCTATCACAGGGCTACACTTAGAGACAGATAACCAAGCACACTCACATTCACACCTACGGACAATTTACAATCACCAATTAACCTCAACATGTTTGTGGACTGTGGGAGGAAGCCGGAGAACCCAGAGAGAACCCACGCTGCATGAAGAGAACATGGAGACTCCACGCAGAAAGATGCCGGGTGTCCTCACCGGGACGCGAACCAGCGATCTTCTAGCTGCGAGGCAACGGTGCTAACCACCGAACCATCTTGCAGCCCGCTGATGAAATTAACTATAAATCTATCTGTTCATCACATCCATGTTAATAATTTAAGTTCTCAAAATTACAGCGATTATCAAATATTTATGTAAGAAAACAGACATCTCTGAAATATTTTCATGTAGGAGGAGATGCAATATTTAATTCCGCTAATATCATCATAGCGTGCTGAAACGTTTACACACAGACAAAACTGGAACACAGGTTAGTGGTGCTGCCAGCTGGCTACCAGCTCTGGCAGCGAGCATAGAGATGTCTGATGACATTGTCCTTTTTATATCAATTCCCTTACCACAGGTAATACAGTGACATCAAAAGCGACTCAGCAGCCACCAAGCCAGGAAATGACTGTCCTGATCAAAGACATATTCTGTTACAGTCCAAATGGACACTGGTGTGGGAAAATAAAGTCAGTACTCCCGGATCAAACTGTGTTTGCTCTTCTTATAAAACTGCTATGCAGCAGTGCTCCGTGTAAGTGCTGAGAATCTGGATCAGCAAAATGCTTTTTACTGATGCTGAAGTATTTTTTGATTAATTCCGTTTCTACACAAATACCAGCTCGGAAAACAAGATTTTTTTGGCATTTGGGTGATTTTAAATTGAACAGACTTCCCAGCAAATGCAAATGTTGGACTTTCAAAATAACATTATGAAGCCCCAGACTGTCTGTGCATATCTGCATGTGCAAAATGTGATCGTTGTAGGTGAGGCTGTTTTCTCATGCGTTTATTCATGTGTTCTGCTGCTTGACACTATTCTGTGTTGTCCACTGACCGGCCCAGAGTGTGTATTACCTGTCTCCGTGCTGCAGAGCAAGGCACAGCATTATCACCAGACAGTACTGAGCGGCCCTTTGTCCTTTATATTCAGACAGCAGAGACGGCCAGTCTGACAGATGGCAACACAGAGAGGGAAGGTTGTATCGCAGAAGATTCTCCACCTCTTCAACATCTGAGGGACAAGCAAGGAAATAAAACAGAGAAGCGTTTAATAATCCATCCATCCATCATCTCTACACCTTAATCCTCACTAGGGTCATGGGGGGCTGGAGTCTATCCCAGATGACTCAGGGTGAAGGCAGGTTCACCTGGACAGGTAACCAGTCTATCACAGGGCTACACTTAGAGACAGACAACCAAGCACACTCACATTCACACCTACAGACAATTTAGAATCACCAATTAACCTCAGCATGTTACCAGGACGCGAGCCGGTGACCTTCTTGCTGCGAGGCGACGGTGCTAACCATTGCTCCACCTTGCAGCCCTAGAGTTTAATAATCAATGTTAGAAATAGGAAGAGGAGAAAGTCATAGACAGATGCTGAAATAGGGAGCGAGGAGGAGAGAATATGGACGAAGGAGAAAGATGGATAGAATAAAATAAAACGCCCCGAGGCCTATTTACAAAGGACTCACCGATTTTGCGTTTACGACTGAAGCCAAGCCAAAGCTGAGGCTTATAAAAAAAATCATGTAGGGATGAAAACGAGTGAGGTTGGATTACACACTTTTCCAATTATTTAAGTTACATCCACACGTAACGCCAATACTCATCATTAAGCGGACGTGGCTGTCACGAATGCTTAAATTCAAATATTTACAACATTCTTTGAAAAGTCACATTACGTGATATAGCAAAGTTAACAAACAAACAAAAGATGAACATGGACTGACAGGTATAGTGTGCAAAGGAACATGAAGAAGGGGTTGAAGATGAGAGACACACGGGTCACTGTGCTGCCTCTGTAAAGACTGGATGACATATAGACGTACAAGTTGCTGCATATGATGGCAAAAAAAAGGGGGGAAAAGACCGAGGCAAGAGAGAAACAATTCTTCTGATGCAGCTAAAAGAGAGTGTTGTGATGTTGCCTAAATATCTGGTGGTCTTTAGGGAGGTGGTGAGAAAAAGGCAGCAAGAGAGAGAGAGGAGGGGGTAGTCTGGAGAAAATAGTGTGAGATGCAGCTTCTGAAGAACTAAAAGGGACAAACACAGAAAAAGAAGCAAAAACAAGAGCAGAGCACCGAGCAGAGAAAAATGTGCTGTGCAATGTAGCCTCTTGTAGGTCTGAGGAAAAAACAGAAGAGATAGAAGAGCAGGAAACAATATCTGTGGTATACTTATGAGGGAATCACAGGAATGCCAAAGTAGGGGAAAGAAAAGACGGGATAAGGGTTACTGATCCATGACTGCACTGAAGATATAACGCCTTGCAGAGCCTGTGGGACAAAATAAGCGACGAAGGGAGTATGGGTTAAAGGAATAAGAAAGAAAGAAGAGGGGAAATAAATATAAACAGGAATGAAAAGGGGAGAGTCTGCAGGCTCATGGCATAACTGAAAGTCCTATGGTCTGGTGAAGGGGCTCCACGTTACGCCGCAGTCACCACATCTAGGTAAACGGTGAAAGACTGGAGAACCGAGGAGGGGGATTAGAAGAACAGAGTGTCGTACAGAGCCTCAAAGGAAGGACTGTGAGTGAAAGGAGCGCAGGAAAGGACAGCCAGATGAAGAAGATGAGAAGGGGGACAACAGATGGGAGAGAAAACAAACAGGCCTGAAAAGCAGGCTGCAGTGACACGCTGCCTCCTGTGCAGGTTTTGATCAGCAGGGAGGGAAAAAAACGGAGAAGAGAAGAGAAGAGAAGAGAAGAGAAGAGAAGAGAAGAGAAGAGAAGAGAAGAGAAGAGAAGATTCACATACCCAAATTATGAGGCAGGAAACACTTTAATAATTCACAAAAATCAATCAGCGATTTCAAAAAGCAATTCACTCGACAAAATGCTGATGAGATGAAGTACAGAGCATAATATGAGAAGAACTGAATAATATAGTAAAATCTGGTGCTTGAAGTTTAAAATAACGGTAAAATATATAACATAAAATGTGACGGTAAAATTCGAGACGAGAGCAAAGAAAAATGAGAGAAAGCAAGAGGCTGGAAATGAAACTGAAACAGATAAGGCTGATAAAAGGGAGGAAGATGGTGACAAGCAGAAAGAGGAACAAACAGGAGTCTAGCTTCGCCGAACTCATTATTCACAGTCACAAACACACGTAAACAAACACACACACACACAAACACACACACACACAGAGCCGAACACTCGCTCGTACAGCTCTTACATCTCATTAACTCAAAGAAATGTTTTACTCAACTCGGTTGTCAATGTCACAATGCGTCCTCTGGGAACAACTGCAGATTCAAACTAGATGTTTTTGGCTCTTTATTTTAGGGGGGATGTTACGGTGATGTGGAATTAGATTAAAGGGGAGCAGTGCTGGGTTTTAGCGTTTGATTTGTGCTCATTTACCTGTAGTTACTTGACTTTTATATAATTTACTGCAGTCTAACACAATCAGAGGCAACGAGCCTTCAGTTAGAGGAGCCTAATCTGTGTTGTCACAAAGTGCGCCGACACTGAGGAGACCTATACGGGGACCTCAGCGCTCAATTCAAAGTCGTTTCACACATTAAACGCCGCACACACACCTGAGTCCTCTCCTGTCGTCCTGTATGGAAGCTCGGGCTGCTGTTAGTGACTCTGCAGACCCTTTTCTGAAATGGCATCATAAGCTTGTCTGCTGAGAGTCAGTCAAGCCTTTAAAGAGTCCCTCCAGTGAAAATTCAATTTCTCTTCCCTTTTTATCGTGTCCATATGGTGTTTTTCTAATGAGCGAAGACAAACAATGAGTGAAATAAGCAGTCCACACCACGGCTGAGCATTTCCACCTTGAAACTGCAAGATAATCTCAATAGCAGAGATTTCTTCTGGGGTTACTTTAGTTAATAGAAACCGGTTGTTATAATAGAGAGCTATGAAGAATATTAAAAAAGCATTACTGTTTATCAAGGTAATGTCCCACTCTGTGCACACTCAATGCAACCGCCTATTTCTAACTTAGCTGCACATTGGAGCTCTTAGGTTCGATGGTCTCTTAATAAAGGACACGTGAAATTCGCTTCACTTTTCGGCCACATCGAAGTGAAATTAAAAGCACTGACAGCATTTTAACTGTAAAAAATACCCGTAGACGAGTTAAAGTTCTAATCTATGTTTTGCTAGCTGCAGTAGTAGCAGTATGAAACAGACTTGGCGGCAAATGGGGACCAGTCACTGAAACGTAGTGACGCATTTTCTGCGTCGCACACAGTTTGTGCTGCTGTGACTGCAAGTCTTCGTTGTGAGGGATTACTCACGTACAAGTTTGCGGATAGTAGGGCTGGGCCATATCATACTGTGCACGGTACTACTGGTGTAATGTTAGGGGATGATGTGAAACTGAAATATCGCGATAAAATTTGAGTGAAACGCGCAGTGCCGTTGTTTTCATCTAATGCACATGGAGCGAGAAGCATGGCGGCGACCGAGGAGGAGGGCGAACGCAGGGCATCGACCGACACAGTAGGGCTGGACCCGGATATCAGAATATTTGGTCATGGTGGTGGTGTCTGCATAGCAATTTTGAGATCTGAATATTCGCCCGCCACTCGCCACTGACACCAGGTGGTGAAAACAGAAGTGTGGCCACTATCCTGAACTGGCATTAGCAGCCAAGTACTACCTGTCCGTCCCGCCCACTTTCACCCCGTGAGTCCGAACATTCACCCGGTGAGACCAAAGAAACTGGCTGCAAAGTTTTATCTTGCATAGCAGCTCTACTTTACTTTGGTCGCTACTATGCATTGTTATGCTCAGGACTTGTCAGCCCGTTTCCATTTGAAATGCCTTTTGATGAAACAATTTGTCAGCAAGTGATTTACAACTGATGCACTATTGATTTTGGGACATTACAGCTTTAATGCACATCAAAAACAGCTGCTCAATAAATAGAAAAGAAATTGTTCTTTTTTTTTTTATTTGTACCAATAACGTTGGGCAGTTTTGAAGTATTTTGTCAATTATATTGTCAGTTATATCGGTATTGTAAATTTTCTCATATTTTTGGCCGTATCACCCTGCCCTAGAGAATAGATCATATTTCCTTAGTTGAGAAACTGAATGGTTCGGGGAAAGAACAGATGAAAGGGTGCACATCTAATCCTGAACTCCTCTGTAGCAGGTTAGACTGCAGCATCAGGTGATCTAGTCAAGTTAAAGGAGAGCTACTTTCTTGACACTGAAAACTCCAGAATGAACCGAGGAAAGACAATAAAGTTTCTCCGTGCAGAATGCTGTATGATTCACTACATGAATGAATGCCTTTGTGACATTCAGTCCACTTGACTTAGTTTCACTTTCTTTGCATAATAACTCTAAATCGAGCGAGGAACACATTCCAATGCACAGCACTACTCTTAAAATCTTACACAGCAACGGTGTTACCAATGACAAACACTCACAGGTATTTCTGAGGTAATGACACTTGTCGGAGTGGGTTATTAGAACATTTCTACCATTCATATGCTGGTACTCTGAAGTCACACTTCTTTACACAAAATAAACTTTAACACCACCAGTGTTTCCAGTCAACGCTTTAACAGATAACTTGCAGCATGACATCACTGCCTGGAAGCTAACAGGAACAACGGGGCTTTTGCTCTTGCTGCATGTCGCTCTGCGTGCGGTTCAAGTGTGCGCGCGTATTTGCATACCGTGGTGGTCGGAACCAGAAGCAGGGTCTGACTGGGAGAGCAGACACACACTGAGTTTCTGTAGAAAACCACAGCAAGCTGCATTCAGATCGGGGTTCCTGAAAGAATTGGTAAGAGAGAGAGAGAGAGGGAGAGAAAAAAGCACACAAGGGACACGGAAAATAACAATGAATACAAAAAGAAGACGGTACAAAGAGACGGGGGAAAACTGCAGAGTGAAATGAAGGAAAAAAATAAAAAATGAGGGCACCTGAGACAAGCAGACAACACATATGGCACAATGCACGGTCAATACAGAGAAGAGTGAGCTGAAATACAGGGCAGGATGTGCCTCGACTTACTGCTTTCAAATATGAAACACAGACGCAGTATGGTTCAGTTTCATTACAGCTCAGAGCAGGGGGCCGAAAGCCTAGCGAGTCGGCCACAGCTATGACCACACTAACAAACAACAGCACAAAGAGGCGCGCGCCAACACCTACACATGCACCAACTAAAGCACATGCGTACACAAAAAAAAAACACAAAACAGACAGTAGACTTTGAAGCTGCAGATCCGTCACTCCGAGACAGACACGCTGCTGAGAAGACTGTCTTATTGGGAAAAAGTTGACAGAGTGACAGAAGAATGACAGATGCCTCAGTCACTGTTATCTGTCTCATTGCTCAATGTGCTCCAACAGAGAATGATAATAAGGAGTCAACTTCTGAGCTAAAAAAGCTTTTGGACAGCAGTACTTTGTTAATGGCTATGTGTGTGTATGTATGTGTGTATGTGTGTGTGTCCTCAGGTTATCCTGTTTCAGCGTACCTGTTTCCCGCACAGAAGAGGCCTTTGTGCTCCACAGCCAGCCTGTAGAAACCAGAGGAGGCTGGAGGCAAAAGGAGGCGAAGAGAGGAATAAATAAATAGTAAAACAGTACAAAATGAGGAAAAGGATTAGGATGCTAACAACAACTGTATTCATAAAAGGCTTTTAAAAATGAACGTTACCGAGTGCATACGAAGCAGAAACTAAAACATGATAATTAAGGCACTGGGCAGAAAATGCAGCTCTTTCATGTTCAGTCTAATTCTAAGGACGAAGAGAAAGAGCAGAGAACACCTGCTGGTATCAGACGTTAAGACACTTGGTTTAAAAGAGAACAAAGATCAGACAGAGTTAAACAACTACTGACATGTGTTCATGTTACAATAATCATCCATCCATCATCTCTACACCTTAATCCTCACCAGGGTCATGGGGGGCGGAGCCTATCCCAGCTGACTCAGGGTGAAGGCAGGTTCACCTGGACAGGTAACCAGTCTATCACAGGGCTACACTTAGAGACAGACAACCAAGCACACTCACATTCACACCTACGGACAATTTACAATCACCAATTAACCTCAGCATGTTTCTGGACTGTGGGAGGAAGCCGGAGAACCCGGAGAGAACCCACGCTGCACGGGGAGAACATGGAGACTCCACGCAGGAAGATCCCGGGTGTCCTCACCGGGATGTGAACCGGCGACGGTGCTAACCATTGAGCCATCTTGCAGCCCCTAACAAAGTCTGTATATGACAAATGGCTGCCACAGATCCTATTAAATATAGCTTCAGAGTTGAAACACAAAATGTTAAAGATATTTTACTGTGTAGTTTTTCCAGATGGAGTATTTTAAACTCTCACTTTGATTCAATCTTCTTTCTCCATGCCTTGCCTTAAAATGACTTCAATCAATGAAGTCCTGCCTCCCTCTCCACACGTCTTTCCCTACAGTTCGAGCACACCAGCTCTCCTATGACTCTGCTTAATCACTGTAAAACTACTCTGATACACAGGGGCCAGTCGCAGCATACAGCAACACAAGGTAGAAATACTCAGCCATGGTGCCGACAGCTCATTTCACAATTTAAAAAAAACACTGTGCGGACACATTAACAAATGCAAAACCTGATTTCATCTGAAGAGGTCTTTTATTGGTAGTATTTCACATTTTACTCCATCCTTTAATAGCTTTCTGTAAACGAGCAAGTCTTACCCTTGTAACAGAGGAAAAAGCCAGACAAGCATGAAATATTAAACAATAAAAATGAAAATGAAAAACATCAAGCATGAATATGTTTACAGAAAATAAAACTTTCAAATACGTGCCCTAAATGTGCCCTCATCGCTCAGCCATCAGCACACCCCACACAAATTATTCATATGTTTGCAATGAATGTGAGCCCTTTCACATCATTTAAAAAAAACAAGTAATTTAAAATAATCCTTTCTGGAAATACATATAGTCATAAATCTCAAAAAGTGTGTTTTTAGCTGTAGCAGTCAATTAATTTATTTTTTGGTAAAATAAGTTCTAGAGGGAATAGAACTATATTAATACTAAACAATTAAAATTTTATTGCAAGACAAAGAAAGGCTTTTTTATGCAGGATGTGAAATCTTCTTTTTATCAATTTGATGGCCAAGAAACATTTAGCGAGAACCACAAAAACTGTGAAGCCTGAGATTTCAGGGCCAGACCTGTGTATAACTTCTGAGCTTTTGGAATTTGCAAGGGGGCTGCAAGGTGCAACCGGCGACCTTCTAGCTGCGAGGCAACGGTGCTAACCACCGAGCCTCACAGCTAGAAGGTCGCCGGTTCGCTTCCTGGTGAGGACACCCGGGATCTTCCTGCGTGGAGTCTCCATGTTCTCCCCGTGCAGCGTGGGTTCTCTCCGGGTTCTCCGGCTTCCTCCCACAGTCCACAAACATGCTGAGGTTAATTGGTGATTGTAAATTGTCCGTAGGTGTGAATGTGAGTGTGCTTGGTTGTCTGTCTCTAAGTGTAGCCCTGTGATAGACTGGTTACCTGTCCAGGTGGACCTGCCTTCACCCTGAGTCAGCTGGGATAGACTCCAGCCCCCCATGACCCTAGTGAGGATTAAGGTGTAGAGATGATGGATGGATTTTGCAAGGTTCTGTGGTTTTTTATTTTTCAACGGAATCCATGACACAAACTGGGAAAGTTCTTATTTGTGGGCGAGTTAGCAGGAAATGACACACCTGGTGTTATTATGCCAGAAATAGGCCACATGATTCAGTTTCAGCTGATTTGCTCCAGGCCTTCATATTTTAGTCACACATTAGTTTTAAACAACACAAAGTATTTTATAAGTAGAGCATCTTCTGGCTACAGCAGATGTAAAGGGACATCGGTCCTGCTTTAATTCACAAGCTGTACTAAATGTCCTGGCTGCACCAGTAAAGAAGAACACTCCGAACTTATTGCAGAGAAGTTTAAATTTCATAAAGCCACTAACTCAGAGCAGCAAACTGTTCTGCTTTGATAACAGCTTGCAGCATAAACATAAAGCTGAGGTTTGCTACCAGATGCGACAGAGAGGCTGGTATTTTTTTTATCTCGTGTGTGTGTGTGTGTGTGTGTGTGTGTGTGTGTGTGTGTGTGTGTGTGTGTGTGTGCTTGTGTGCCATCATGGCATAACATGAATGTGATCCCCTCCTGTAGAAGGACAAACAACAAAGGCAGCTTTAGGTGCTTCGCCAGGCTTTTATGTGTCTATCTGGATGTAAGTGGACAGATTTTGTCAACACAATAGCATTGTAACCATGCACCTGTTACAACAGGTGTGTAGTTCAGATAAAAAAAGGGTTGGTTTGATAATGAGTGCTAAGACAGGAAATCCGTTGACTTCTCATGGGTCGAAATGTAACCACATTGACGGGCATCAAGGCTCGTCTGATCCCCTCACAAGACTAGTTTAAGTCTCTAGTATATGATGGCACCACACTCGCTTGTCTCGACGCTGGAGGCAACAAGTCTCCTGTCGGTAATTGAGCCTCATCATCTCGACTGCTAGTTTCGGACAAATTGCATAGCTTTCCCCTACAGTGCTAAACAATTGAATCCAGGCATTTAGCTTCGTCTCTGCTGTTGGTATTTCTGGCATTATTTTGTAACTGCACAAAATACAGATTTTAGTTTTGCAAACATTATCTAATTACAGTAACAGAAAGTCTCGGTGGCTCAGAGGAGAACCCAGTATGTTATGGGATGATGAAATGAAATGAAGTTAATTGCTTTGCATGATTAGCTGGGAATTAGGCTTTATGGAGGAACTGCTTCTGTTTCTGCCCATTTAATTTAGTCAGACATTTAAGGATTCAAACCACATTCAAGAAAGGTGTTTAGCTGGCTCATCTGGATTAAAACAGCAGGCTTGTTTAGAAATGTGTTTGTGTTTTGTATTCCTCAGTGGATGAGACACACACACACAGGCCTCCAGTTTCACCGTGGAATGGGCTGCTGCTGCTGCTACATAGTGCCAGCGAGACCAACAACAACATGTGCAAAGCCAACATTAACAAGAAATAAATGTGCAGCTAATTTAAGAACAAGAGCTCTGCATGCAGTCCTTGCACCAGCTATCGTAGCTACTAATAGCACAAACCTCATCTGAGTGTAACACAGATCCATCTGTCGCCAGAGAAACAAATATGGTGTCTGGGTTAGTGGCGCCATGCCATGTCGTGTTTTCCCGCTGCACTGCATAGCACCGTAAAGTTGTTTACCTGAACTGCTAATGAAGCTCCACTAAATCTGTCATAAACAAATTGTGTTTACTTCTTCGCCAATGTAAAGCTTTTAGTATGAAGCAGCAACACTAAGACATGTTCAGAAATCCCCTTTAGGTCACTGCCAATGTCTCAGCTCTTCCTATTTATAGTTTATTTCTTCCTGTCACTGTTTTTTTTGCTCTTTATCTTCTGTGCTCTGTATCCAGTCCGCTGCAACAAGTGAGTTTCCCCATTTGTGGCGAAAAATAAAGTGCAATCTAATCTCATGTTTACATCAGCAGTAACTTAAGGTTACATCCATTACTATATCAAAAGAGATCACAGAGCGCTCAATAAAGAGAAACGTAAGGTTGATATCCGACTGTACAAACAGAGACACACAAGTGAAATCAAACTAACTCGATCAGTCATCTAGAAAAAGGAAAATGTGTCCAGAGTGGCTAAAGTAAAATGTATTGATTGGTTTACGTATCCAGTTCTTGTTTAAAGACATTAAGCTGTAAGTAATGTCTTGGCTGCTCCGGTGCTTCAGGGCGGGAGAGAGCGCTCCGAACCGATTAAAGAGAAGTTTAAATTTCATAAAGCGAAAATGAAAACAAGCCTGAATGTAAAATGTATTATTGATTAAGCCAAATATTTCTCTATAATGCATGACATGTTTCTCACGAGTTCACTTACATCAGGATTTTAGGGCCTTTTAAATTATTCCCATAACATCAATGCCAGAACCTAATGTTGTATTTTGAATTATTTTCAATTAAGTTCACTTTTATTTCTCCGTTAACATGCGTCTACATCAACGTGTCAAACTGACTGTGTCATAACATCAGAAATGTTTTTGTTCAGCCATTAGTTTTAAATGTGTAGGAATACTTTAAATTATCACAAAACTAAAAGGTGGTTTGCACAAGCAGCAGAAGAGAAACCACACTGCTTAGAGAAGGCAAAATCAAGTGGTTCTGTTCATTCAGCTTGTAGATATCTTGTCCCTGGTAGCTGCTATACACCCTCATAAAGCTCAGAAATGTAAAATAGTATAAAATGAAATGGTCATTTAGAGATTTAGGGGAAAATAAATTGTTTACATTTACTGAATAATTTTAAAAAACAAGATTTTTTTTGAAAAATTGTTCAAATTTGGTGTAATTCAACTCAACTCAGCAGTAAGGTACCAATCATTTCTGAACTGCTATAATATTACAGTGACTGTCAGCTTACATAGTTTAGACACTCTCCAGATAACTGAAAAAATATTTATCCACGACCGCATCAGTAAACTCGACCAGTTTATGAAGAAAATTCTTATGATACCGATCAGAATTGCCAACCTGACCCTGAAGAAAACACACTCTGAGAAAGAATGCATGACACTGTATGAATGTATCATGAAACCACGAAACACCTACTTTTGTTATGAGTTTACACAGCGTTACGCAACTCACCCAGTTTATTTGCAAAGGCAGGCATGAGAGGCGGAAGAAGGGTAAACTGGGAAGAAAGGATGGAGTAGAAGTACTGCAGTGGCCCGGCGCTGGCTGCACGTTCACACACCTTCTGCAGAAAGACAAAAAAACTAAACACAAACTGTAAACAGTTTTGTCTTGATTTTCTCCCTGAAGAAAAGCAACAGAATATAAAAACAATCACTAGTACTACAGCAGACAGGCTGATCAATAGGCACACGTATCCATGTGTACAGAAAACAAACGAAGACGGAGGCTGTGAGGTTGTGCTTATTAATGCAGAGGACGTGCACAATAATGGTTGTGATCTATGTCTGTAAAAAGAGATGCCAGCAATTTATCATTTCTTAAGTGTTTGGTAAAAACTGTGACAGAGCGGCAGGATGTTGAGACGAGATGATGATGATGATGATGATGATGATGATGGATCGGACATGTGCATCTGTGTGTGTGTGATTGAGCGTCTCACAATAACGGTGGGGATCCAGACGGAGTCGCAGCAGCGCAGCAGACATTGACACAGAGATTCCAGCGAGTCCTGAGCGTTGTTGTTTTTGTATGGAGCTGTGAACGTGTTCTCCCTCAGAGCTGGCTCTGACGCACACTCTTCAGCCAGCCTTGGACAGACACAGGCACTTTTCAAACACCAACACGCACCAACGTATACGTAAAAACTGCACAAGAAATTCTAGGAGCACACATAACGATTAAATGAACGCTTTCATCTGCAGGTTCAGGGAAACTTTCTTCTGGCGGTTGAACACATTTAATCAGTGACTCCCTTCCTTTATATAATAACCAAACAGCACTTCATTCAGTTCAATACTACAATAAATCAATCCCTAAGACATGCGGTAGAACCTAATCAATGGACAATGAAAGAACAAGAAACGGCTGAACGCTTTGCACATTAGTGAGTCGGTTTATTCATTGATCCCTCAGTGGCTCCACTGAACCCTTTCAACATGTTGCCTAACAAAGTTCTGACCTGCAGGCAGCTTGAAAACAGACCAGGGCCTGAAGCAGAAATCGTTCAGACTTAGAAGGCTGGCTGCTTGGATCTAACCTCTTCAGACTCCCCTGAAACATGCCAACAAGAGATCAGGACACAAATAAGAAGAGAGGGGGGCAAAGAGATAAAGTTGTGCAAAGAGAAAATCCAATCACATCACAAAGAAAATGATTGTCTTTGATCAAATGTGTTTAAAACAATGAAAGCTCTCCTTTAAGACAGACAGAAAGAAAGAAACCCTAAAAGCTTCCTGTGATTAAATATTACTGACCTTGTGCTTTTAGGTCTCATATCTGTGTTCTGTCTCAGTGTGATTACAACGTTTGTTGTTTAGGCTGCAGCAGTACATGTCAACCTGACATATTTTGTTGACAGTCACTCTTACAGAAGGAATAAGGATGCTAAGAAACTCAACAATAGGACAGCTGTGAAGAACAACAGAAAAGCACATCCATTCCTTCGTGGAAGAAAGAATTCCCTTTGATCACACGTGTCAATCACACATGTACTGAGTGACGTGTCACCAGACAGCATCAAGGCCCGAAATGTGTGTCAGTGTCATTTTTAAAGGCGCCGATAACCACATAAAACAGCCTCCGTAGGATAACCTTCTCCAGTGGATAAGGTGGCACAGATAGGCGGCACAGACAGCTCTCTTCTCCCCCAGTTTATGAATTTTTCATCTTATAACTTTATTTTTGGATTTGTGGGTAAAACACAACTAACTAACTTACAGAGATCCGCTTTCGATGAGCGGCGGAGGGCGGAGGCAGCTCAGAGAATCTGCTCGTGATGGTCTCTATCAGTCCTTCTACTTCCTTGTACTGGACTGGTCTGGACTGGTGGTTTAGTCTGGAGGATTCAGAGAGCCGCAGCTGTTTAAACACACCTGATCATATGTTTGTTAGGAGGATGGCGAAGAGAAGACACAGGCGAGCAGTGCAGCAGGACATCCTGTGCATGTGTGAGTAGCTGTGTGTGTATACAGTGGACTCATTAAGCATAGTGTGTCTACTTATACGTGATGAGTGTCAGTAAGTGACGGAGTGAAGCGCTGACCTGGGCGACGTGCCTCTGTGTGAGTTCATTATTCATATAACTCTTATCCGTCAGTACCAAGTCAGAAAGAACTCTGCTGAGAAACAGCTACACAGCCTGAACTTTGTCTTTCACAAGTTACAAATCCTCAGGATGTAGCTGCACGAGTGTCCTTGACAACACGTGACTCATTTACGTGTCCACAGTGCTCGTGTTTGTGTACACCTGAACAAGGCGGAGGCGGCGCTGGCAGCCTGTGTGGCTACCAGCAGGCAAGAGCAGGAGACTCCGGCCAGCACGGCCTCTGAGACCGCCACAAAACCCGGGCCACTGGGAAACAGATGCACGCTCGGGGGCTGCCTACGCACAAAAACACAAACACGTTTGTTAACAGACAAAGAAGTTCCACTGTTGCACCGAAGGCCAGCAAGCAGGGGAACGAAATCTAAAGAGAGAAAGAGACATCTATCACGACTTCTGCTGGAATCATAGTCGTAAGCAAATAAGACAATAAAAGTTACACGGAGCTGTGGATCTTTTACACAGTGAGAACTATCAGAAAGTAAAGAAACAGGGAGTGGTTGTCGTCTCTGCTGATATGGATTTTTGACACTGACGTCAATAAAGCCCATCAAAAAGCTGGTGGTGTTTTTTCATCTGATCTGTCTAGAATTCTCCGACTTGCTGTGCCAACACCAGCAGTGGATGTTCGCTGGGTCGCAATAAAACCTGCCTTCCCTCCGTCTCGCTTACCAAAACACAGACTATTATTTTCTCACTTTAAGGGCAGGTACACATAATAAACAAATAGTGCTGACCTATTGGCATTACAAAGATCACCCGAGTATGTCTCCATGATGCAGCTGGCTCGCTGTTGCCACAACAGAAGTTGCATAGAACGTCCTAAATAACACATGCATGCACATTAAAGTGGACACAAACACACACACACACGCATGTACGCAACAACACACACAAATTCACAAACATAGAAATGCACGCACAAACCTAACACATTAATGGTCCAAAAAAAATGCCCAAGAATCTCTCTCACACACTTCAGCTTGTTCAGCACTTTCAGCGCTCTGGTCCAGCTACTTTTTTTTTTTTTTTTTTACTGTTCCGCTCAGCGTAAAGGACTAATTTCCCTCTTAGATTATGAAATCTCTTATCCCCTGTATCATTGCCATGTGACAGGGGGGAACATTCCATTAAAAATATGTCAACCTTGCAGAAATTGGATGGTGTTTTACTGGCTCCTGATATATTTTAATCTCGGAGACAGCAGACAGTTAATTCTAATCTAATTAAACTTCCCAGTGCACCATATTTAACGCGTTGTACAGCAGGTCCCTTCTCCTTGTCAGTGCGGCTGACAAGTACATGCTGTTCGGCTGATGAACCAACATGTGATGGAGTAAAACATCTTCAGCATAATTGGGTGTGAAAGAAGGAAATCTCACCTTTCCAGTATTTCAGTCAGCAGAAGCAGACCTTGTTTTGGCACTTCGGGGTTGGTCAGCCGCAGAGCCTCGTTCAAACTGCGCACCAGAGACTCGATACCTACACACACACACACCACACACACACACACACACACACACACTGTCGCTGCTCCAGAGAAACACTTTGCACACAGACCCTCACAGCCCACCACTCGTCTAATCTTGCTCGATGCCAAAGGTCTGAGAGCGTTTTGATGTCTGATATCTACGACACTACAGGCTACATCAGCTTCCTGCATTAAAATGAGTGGCATGCTCATTAATGTAACACAAAAGGACACCGACACTCACAATCATGCACATTAAACAGTGGCAGTGGTACATCTCTGTAATCTACCGCTACACTGGATCTGCTGTTATGAGCTCATGTTCATACTGACCTCAAGAAAGAAGCTAATAGCATCCAGGACGGGTTACATCAGATACCCTGTGTACTGGTAAATTAAGTCTTTTAAACCGTTCCTGTGGGGTTTAGAGGTGTAGTGACAGTGACGCCTTAAATACATAATCCAGTCGTAGAAACACTCAAACATGTACATCTTTCAAGAAAACACCACAATGACATTTTTGCCAATATGCATTTACTGCTTGATGGTATGACTACATTAAAATGTCGAGCTGAAATAACACAGCGTGCTGGAGCAAACAATGTAAACGTAGCGTCTCTTGTAGTGTAACGGTGACGTCTGAAGCAGAAAAAGCTGTTTAAAAGCTTCCACTTCAGCAGGGTGATAAAAAAAAATCCTTGTTGCCGTTTCAAAATTAAACAATTCAGGCTATTTTAAGCTGTCACAGAATCTCTGATGCCATCAATTATCCATTAGCACCTATTTCCACAGTTATGTAAACTGATCTAAAATGAAGCTGGTTGCTGCCAACATGTGCTGCTAACATCATTTGCAATCGCAGTGTACACAGTGGTGACATTGAGATATTTTGGCGCTCTTGCAGCTGAAACTGGTGCTTCTACTTCTAAACTCATTCCCTGCTTTTGTGCATCAGCGTCTGATGAAGACACAGTTGTGTTAACATCCATCCATCCATCATCTCTACACCTTAATCCGCACTAGGGTGGCGGGGGGCTGGAGTCTGTCCCAGCTGACTCAGGGTGAAGGCAGGTTCACCTGGACAGTAACCAGTCTAGTCGACAACCAAGCACACTCACATTCACACCTACGGACAATTTACAATCACCAATTAACCTCAGCATGTTTGTGGACTGTGGGAGGAAGCCGGAGAACCCGGAGAGAACCCACGCTTCACGGGGAGAACATGGAGACTCCACGTAGAAAGATCTCGGGTGTCCTCACTGGGGTGCGAACTGGCGACCTTCTAGCTGTGAGGCAACAGTGCTAACCACCGCTCCACCTTGCAGCTGTTGTGTGAACACATTAGGGTTTTTTTTTTGCACAATAAAAGGCTTTGAATTAAGCAGTGTGTACTCTGGATTTCTTCTGTAGCACACAAGGAGGAAGCTGTAACTCGTCATCCAGCTTTGTATACATTGGGTGTTCTCACCATAGACGGAGTGACACTGGGAGAAGAAGAGCGTGTCCTCAGTCAGCAACAGCAAACAGCTGTAGACGGACCACAGTAGTGCCTCACTGCTACTGGAGGCCAGACAGTCGAACAGAAACTCTGTGAGAGACGGAGATGAAAGCAGAAGCTTTGCGATGGGATAAATAAAGCTACGATAAAAAGGGAGAACAGTGTTGCTGCAGCATACGTCTCTTCTACAGCATCACCGTTACTAAACAAGGTAATGTTTTCTTGCACAGTTACAACACCAAGAATGAAGGCAATATTCTTTTGTTTTTGAAAGCCCCAACTTTTTCTGAAATTCTGGGGCGAAGAGAGAAATACATGTAGTGGTGGAGCTGCTGGAGTGACATAAAAACATAACAGATGTAAAGAGAAGAGAAGAAACATCAAAGACAAGCTAGAAGCAAGAGAAACACAGAGACGGTAGGAGCACAAATTTAGACAAAGAGAAGAAATCAAAAGGAAACAAAAAGGACAGAGGAAATTATTTGTAGAAGACAAATAAAAGAACTTGAATAGTGAGCCACCGTGTGTGTGTGCCTGCTTGTGACTGTTACCAGGTACATCAGCCTTGATGAAGGGAGCGCCGTACTGACTCGGAGAATGGACCAGAACAGCTGCCATACACTTAGCGCTGGTCACCTGCAATGTCTCATCACCACTCAGCAGCAACTGAAAGACAAGTTCAATGTGTGTTATTAGGATCCTCCAATCAACTGAAGAAACACGGCACCACAACACCCAAACCTAATGTCCACCCTGAAGCCTGAGCACTTTTATTCTCTCAGCTGATTGCTCCATTTGTGGCATCGCTGTTTATACAATTTTAGAAAACTACTGCAGGTCCAGAAAGCCATAAACATCTGTGAATCCTGTGTTTGACTGAAAATACAACAACTGCAGAAATGTTCAATAAATAAGTGAAACAGTTGCTGTTATGGATAAACTTCCTAATGGATTCAACACCATCCATGCTCGGGGCAGCCCTGAGTCCTCACAAACTTACAAAAACTGTGTGTCTGTGAATGTGGACATCAGGACCGGATTAGTGTTTATAGACCGACGTATGTGAAGAAGATCCTCCAACAATAACAAGCTACTGACGACAGAGATGAGGCAGCATGGTGGCTAACTGTCTCGTCTTCTGTATGCTGTCCAGCCTGCGAGCTTTGTTTTAATGTGTTAAGGTCGATCAAATATCGCCTGCAAGGAGAGCGCATTGATCGACGTTCTGAGTGATTGATGATCATCATAAACTCCTCGAGGAAAGGTTTATGCCACAAATAAATGAATTAGGTAGAGATAATATGCAGGAGGCGGTTCGGTCGACGTAGCTTCACCCAGCACTGGTGCATTTGCTCCAACATCGGTTCAAGTTCGGCATCATTTGAGAGCAGATTTAATTAATAATTTACACAACTGCATCATTTTTTCCTTCATAAGTGAGAATACTCTGATCTGTGTAAGAAACTGCAGAAGGAAAATGAAGCAAAAGCTGAAGAACTTGGATGCATTAGTTAGGTTTAAGAAGACTCACTGGGTTCAGGAACTCAGCCTGTATCTAGTGACGTCGTTCAACACATCCACTGTGAATTAAAGCAAAGCTACTCCAGTTTGCCTCAGTTCCTTTAGTGCAGCATAGTTCATGTTATTTGTCTTCGCAACTTCAAAAGCACTTGAGTTTTTTCATCCCCCCTCCCCAAGTTCTCTGTAGTTTTCATGCAGATGCGTCTGGTTATAAACAGTCGAGATGAATTTTGTTTTGGGAGAGTTCGCCAGATTTAGGTGATTATTTAGATAAAGCTGAATTTTACAGCAACACATCGCACCCTGGCGATCTGCACAAACCCACCGACGTCATGAGTAATGTGAGTCATCACTGAGAAAACCTAACTAGATGTAATCTGCGCATTGATTTCCCAGACATGAAGCACAAATATTTGTTCAGAGCAAAACCTCCCCGAATCCCCATTCAAAGGCACATTAATCCAGGATTAGAACTCCTTGTTATGATTATCGTCAGCGATAGAATGCCGGTCTTGGGGGTGAGAGCAGGATGTTTGGACAGAGACCTTTTTCAGTATGAGAGGCAGAGGGCAGTGGTCGGGGGGCTGTTGCTCTTGGTTTTGGCTGAGGATCTGGCTGTCGTTGGCGAGGATGTCCTCATTCTCATCGCACATCATCTGACTGTTCATCAGGGCTGACACTGCCTCGCCCTGCTGCACGAGTTGCCACAGCAGGCCTAGCAGACAAATGAGAGAAAAAGATTTAAGAACACACACTGATGGTGTCATTAGTAAAAAATACAGTACAAACAAATGACCCACATTAATAGTAGATGATTAACAAGATCTTAAAAATGTTTGTTTTTAAAGCTTTGATATGTGATCTGTACCGACACTAGCCACAGCATCAGTATCACCACCTTAAATACTCCATTTGCCTGGAAATGAACTGCTCTGTTTCAGCACCACAACAGACACTTTCAAATGACGTACGTATAAATGTTAGATCACTTCTGCAATAATAAAAGCCCTTGTGGTGCGAGGATTCTTCACAAATTCCATGAATTTGTAAATAATGAAAATGCAACCTACCAAAGTAAAGACAGAATAAAATATAATAATCTTGACTTGCAGGTATTTCTTAAACTGATTTAAACATAAGATCAGGTAACATTAAGTCATAGTGACATAGGCTCAGTCCTCACAGAGAGAAGAAACGTATGAAACCCTATGGAAAGATCAAAAAATGTCAGATACATTAAACATATGAAACATACATGAACTGATGAAGCCCAGCCCAAACTTCAAGTGTCACAGTATCGCGCAGACGAGCTCACTACATCTATTACTGATTTAATTTCACAGTTACTGAGATAAATACATCGACAAATGGAATTTAATCCAGCCATCTGGGAACAAAGTCATAAAAAAAACAAATCAAAACCATTTGTTAAGCGTGAGGGAGAGTACGTCTCCATTTATAGAAATGTCTTGAACATTCTTTACACATTGCAGCATTAAAGGAACTGAATAATAATCCCGTTCTTTCCACCACATTTTCTGTTATCGTTGGGGCTAGAGAGGCTAAGATGACTGATATTAAACTAATAAATACAAGAACAGCAACAGCCCGACTCCAGAAGCTGATGAAACCCAACCTTCCTTGCAGCTCTATACCGAGCATGCCGTGCATCCCACTTGTCTGCCAAGTTAACACTGTGATATAACATCTTCAAATTTCTAGGAGATAATGACTCCATTTCATTTTCAATAACTCCTCTGCCCCCGGTGTAAACCTCTATTCTGGTTATCACCAAAGTGCACGCTGTCGAGCACATTGTTCTCAACACTACGAGATAGCGACACTCTTTCATCTCAGTATAATCCTTCCTCTTTCTCCATCAAGCTTCACCCGTAAGAAGATCTGGGGATGAAAATAACTCAATTTATTTACTAATAACCCCTGAAAGTAGTTGACATTTATAAAAGTGAGCCAAAACAAGAGCGCTGCCGTCCATACTTCAACAGTCCTCATCTTAATGCTCTCCCAGTGACTGGGAGGGAGACTCTGATTCATGTACGGCATCAAATTCATAAAATACAGTCGTGACTCCATAATCGACCCTCAACAATCCTAAACCTGCTATCTGACAGGTTTTTAGGAAAAACGAACGGATCCCATAAAAACAGCCTTAACATAGCGACAGCCTTGGATTGTGACTCCGACATAACATTTAATGTCACCAATCAGGATGACGGCGTATTATCTGACTGAACAATCCCACAGATTGGCTACGTTCACACTGCAGGACTTGATGCTCAATGAGGATTTCTTTGTGACTTCCTTCACGTTTCCAGTTCAATGCGACTTGTATGTGATCTGCTGTGTGAACTTCATACGAGCCAAAAGTGTCCCGCATGCGCAGAAGAGGACACGACGACGTCACACGCAGCGAGCGTGCTCAGTGTTTATGGAAGTAAACATGGATGGTAACGGTGGAGCGTATCTGCCACTCCCCCGCCGCCACCGATGGTGGAAACAGAAGTGTGAGCGCTAACTAAACTAGCATCAGCAGCCAAGTACTGCCTGTGTGTTCTGGACACTTCCACCTCATTGGACCGCTCTGAAGGGGTGGATGTGGCCGGAACGTGCACAAGCTCACCGGTCAATTAGACGTGAAATCCAGCGATGCGTAGTGTTCTAACAATACACTAGTTATAACAACTATGAACAATGAATATTAACAACTAATGAGCCTTCCAGCATCAAGTCCTCCTTGTATCTCGACCTCCGTCTTGACAATCCGACAGCTTTGCTATCTGACATAACAGAAGGTTTTACGTTTAGTGTCAGATTATCAATTCACGACTGTATATGCAATTTTTCATCCAGGCAGCTCCTGATGCTGTCAATGAAAGTCTAAAACCTCCCTCGCCAAGTGGCCACAGTATGGAGGGAAAAAAGACGGCGTCTGTACGTACTATCAACATTTTTATTTGTTTCTGCTCTGTGTAAACACTGCCTACAGTTGAATCCAGCTCAGCTGACTAGCCCCAGATTTTTTGTCACATGACTGTTGGTCACAACTAAGCCAGCTTCTTGGTTGAGTGCTGAATTTTTAGTTTCTTGTAAGAATCTGATGGTGATGGTGTATTTTTTGGTGAATTAAAAATATTAAATAAATAACTAAATAAAAAGACAGAAAAACAAAACGATTTTGATGAAATACTCTGATTTGGAGGTTAGATTCTGTTAATTTTCCTGACAAACTTGAGCGAAAGGCCAAATGTTAAAATTCAGTTGACTGTTCTGTTCTGACAGCTTCTCGTTCTGATAATTGCTTTAATTTTTTAAAAAGATAAACCTACCAGCAGATTGCGGGGCTCAGAGGGTAAAAGCAACCAGAGGGTAAAGTCAGTTTTTAGAATATCTAATGACAAACTAATAAATAAAACAGATAAAACTGAGGGATGTTTTTCTCACCAACACAGTTTCTGATGAGCGGTGGGGAGTCGGCGTTGCCTAAAGTCTGCAGCAACAGGACGCACAACCTGTCTCTGATGCCAGTTGGCAAGGCCTGGGTGACTGAGCCCCCAGGTGTCCCGAGCAGCTGGAGCCACACATATAAAACCGAAGTCTTAAATGCTTCATCTGGGTAAAGCAAGGTCGAGCACAGGTGGTCCAGCAGGGGCACTGGTAGATGAAAAAGGAAACAGAAAGCAAACAGAGGATTTAGGCAGGATAATAAAAGCATGATCTCAAACTGGTTTGGTGCAACAGCAACAATTAAATACATGCAACACATCAAGTAGAGTGTGTTTAATCTAGTCCATGTGTCTCAAGATGTACCATAAATCAAGTCATTAATCAAGAAAGACCTACTGTATGTGTGTGTAATTAAGCAGGAGCGCAGACAAAGATACTCAAAGGAGAGGTAAAGATATTACTGAGAGAGGAGCACAGCTAAACAGACAACAACAGGGACAGTGAGACGATAACACAGCAGAGAAACAAACCACAGGGAATGAAGCTACGAGAGGCTATTGTGGAATTAGCATCGGAGGGGAAAGCTGTCTTGAAACGATTGAACATTGGCTACTGGGAAGAGAGAGTGGAGTAAAATGGCAGGCAGAAAGGAGAGTGAATAGAGGAGATTAAAAAAAAAAAATAATACATGAACTGGAGTCTTCTCTGAGCGCAGCAGACGGCAGCTAGAGACTCCCAGGTACACCGTCTGCCAGTAAAAAGCCTGATTCAGATTCACAAGACAGAGCAAAGAGACCGAGGACGGAGCATCAGCCACGGAAAGAGTGAGGATGCAAAAGAGACCGAGAGGAAGATGCAAGATGAGGGAGAAAGGTTGAGGAAGAAGAGGAAGAGCTAAAAAATGACTCTATAGCTATAAGCAATTCATAAAGCTGTTGCATAATTGCACACAATCCACAGTGTTGCAGGTATTTAATAAACTCAGATTCAACAACTTTAATGCCTTTAATGTTTTGGCAAAACCTGGACTACATTCGTTATTGGTGAGTCTGGCAGCAAATCGTGTCTTCTGCAATATTTTTGGAAGAACATTGATGCTGAAATGTAGGAAAAAAAATTAAAAACCTTCCTCTAGTTGCTTCCTTAATTGTGTGTGCCTGTGCGTTACGGGGACTGCATGCAGTTCAGACTTGTTATTGTTAAAACTGTTATTAGGTCCAGCCTTTGTAAGATTGCTAGTAAAGCGAGCAGGCTGAGTGTTACCGAGTCACGTAGAACTGAGAATATACGTCTATACGCAATTACAGAAGCCACATATCACGGTGGTTCTCTTGGTAAACAGCCCCATTAAATTAATAGATTGATTAAGGCACTTATAGCATTTGCAGTAAATTAAAAATTAAAAATGTGAGTACTTTTCTTAATGTAGTGTTTAACAAATTAATGCAAAGTGCCATAACACAAGAACTGTGTTGATTGTAACTGAATTAAATGTTTCTTTAATGTATGAATATAAATAAATAACCAAACATAAAAAGCACTAAAGTCACAGTGATGGACTTGAGATCATCCATCCATCCATCATCTCTACACCTTAGTCCTCACTAGGGTCATGGGGGGCTGGAGTCTATCCCAGCTGACTCAGGGTGAAGGCAGGTTCACCTGGACAGGTAACCAGTCTATCACAGGGCTACACTTAGAGACAGACAACCAAGCACACTCACATTCACACCTACGGACAATTTACAATCACCAATTAACCTCAGCATGTTTGTGGACTGTGGGAGGAAGCCGGAGAACCCGGAGAGAACCCACACTGCACGGGGAGAACATGGAGACTCCATGCAGAAAGATCCCGGGTGTCCTCACCGGGATGCGAACCGGCGACCTTCTAGCTAAGCACCGAGCCACCTCGCAGTCCATTTACTATAACTTTGTATTTCAAAAATACTGAAGAAAATTCTGCCACATGCTGACATACGACAGAAGGTGAGACGTGGACGGAGGCATGTTTGGACAAAGAGAAGAAAGAGAAGCAAACGTGGCTGTAATAGTGGCTTTGAGAACAGACGGATAAACAGTGTTAAAGAGCAAGGCTGTAGAAAAAGACAGAGGAGCGCAGAGCTAGCGAGTGTAGAGGAGAGACAGAAAGAGATGACAGAGCAGGAGAGCCAAGTCCAAGCCCAGCTGCTCTGTGAAGCAGATCAAACCCCCATGTGAGGCAGGAGAGGCTCCCAGACATGTTTGATTAAACCAAAATATATGAGGCGGCCAAGATGAGAGCCAGGCATAAAGAGAGGAGGAGAGAGAGCAAAGGGAAAGGGGTAGGTGGTGGGTAAATCCTCCACAGGCGCAGCACAGAAATGTAAGGAATAACATATGAAAGGTTAACTCAGATGGAAAATAAAACCTTTACCACATTTTCTGACACTTAGATACGAACACAGTGGCAGGCATAAAAAAAACCTGAAAGGTCTGTTTCTCTTTGCCGTGGTTACAGTTTTCAGGTATTTTTACATTCTTGCATGTCGCCTTTCTTTCATATTTCCGCAAAGAGTTAAAGCTGTACTGACAACTGTGTCGTCTGATTAGAGATACTGTTCCCTTTAACACTGCTAAAATGTGCAAATCTAGAAAATGCTGCCACTGTCATATTGTCCACCGTACTATTGTCCTTCCCCTCTTTTATCTTTCTTGTTATCTTTGTCTGCCTTTCTCTTCTTCTTTATCTCATTAATGCTTCATCTTCCCTCTCTGCTCCCTCATTTTGTCTGCAACCACTCTACAGTCAGGACTCGAGGGAGTAAGACACCAGCAAAGCAGAAAGAGATGAGGGAGGGAGGGAGGGGGGGAGAAGATAAAGAGAAAATAAAAGACTAATTCCAGCTGAGAAAAGCAAAAGGAGAGGGGGGGAAAAAACAGAGGGTTTAATCAGTTAGATAGACGGGCAGACAGCGAGTCGCAGAAAGAGCGGAGTCCGTTGGGTGCTCTGGGCTCGTGTTGTCATTGCTGTGCTGCTGTCGTTAGTCCAAACAGCCCCACGGAGACTTGTTGAGTGACAGGCCGCAGACAGGCGCGCACAGTCAATAGTGGCAGCCCGCATCTTGCATCAGCATCTAAACAACCCACCGCTACCTGTGGCTGCTCAGGGGAGTTTGTAAAACTCATGAAAATACATGGGAGATGGACAAACAGCGAAACAACCGCGATGCCTGCTTGTTCGGCACAGGGCTCACGTTCGCTCTCGACTGTAAAACAGGCGCTCGGGCATGACACAAACACACACACACACACACACACACACACACACAAGCTTACAGCTGACTAACAATGCCCATTAGGCAGAGAGGAGAAATGGTTCAGTGCATAGGCAGACATTGCACAGGTGGTTGTAGCAGAGATTAAATCAGGGACTGTGTGGCGTGGGGGGCGAGATGCAATATCGTTCCGCCTCACGCATCTAGTTAGAAATATATATCCATATATATGGGAAATCTCAAGTAAAAAAAAAAGGCTATATGAACATGTATTTGTGACTTTTTATTTTTACTGTCAGCAGGTGCTGGTGTGGGATTGGCTATGCAGATAGAATGTTAAGTACGGCTATCTCCATGCAGCCAGGGCGCAATTGAAAAGGTCATAACAGCCAGAGAGATTGAATTGAGAAAGTTCAGAGGAAAGGATATGAAAGATACAGTTTTGTGACTTTTTTTCTAATTTCTCAGAGGCACTCAGAGTGGAATGGGGTGTAGCATGGGAACGACTGCAGCAGAAGTGGACGTAGCGCAAATATTTCAATGCATTTGGGATACAATGGAAAAGGTCAATTGAAAAGGTCAATTGAATTTTCTCCATCTCTCCGTGTTGAGAGCACAACGGATGTTGAGAATTAGATATTCTTTCATATCCGTCGTTTCCATTTTGGGGATATCTAATATCGGTAACACATAGCCTCTGAGATAAATTGCCTTTGCATTGGTTAAATTTTTTTACTCAATGTCCTTTCAGATGCCAGAGCAAAGACAGGAACAAGAGATGTGACAGCATCATGAGCTGTCTGAAATCTGACCCGATCCTGTCTCAACTGGTTTTTTAAAACTGACCCAAAGCAAACTGTGTCATCATCTTCTTTGTGGATACTCTATATATCCCTGAAGGGTCTTTGCTACACAATGAGGTCAGTGGTCGTAGTTTAGGGCTACGTAAACAACATTTACTTGACTTGACTTCTTGCTCATACATGATGCAGCGGGGTAACGGTCGCAACAAGACAGTCTCTCAGTAAATAAAGAAATCCATCCGTCCTCTTGTCAGTGCTTTCTGGTATTAAAATAAAATCAACAACACAAAATTATAGAAATTGCTAATAATATCTCTAAGTACAACAATTGTTTATCACATGACCTGTGACAAAGCACTGTTGACACTAAAGTGTATTCTCACATGCAGTCGTGACTCGATAATCCAACACTAAATGTAAAACCTTCTATGTCAGATAGCAAGGCTGTCGGATTGTCAAGACGGAGGTCCAGATACAAGGAGGGCTTGATGCTTGAAGGGTTGTTGTTAATTATTGTTCATAGTTGTTGTAATAACTAGTAGGGCTGGTCCCAATAGAACTTTATGCTCTCTGGATATTTGGGCCCAATTAATGATGAATATCCGAACATTCGGCGTGATCGGGGGACACTTCCACCCCGGGGCAGCGCTCTGACGGGGTGGAAGTGTCCAGAACACACAGGCAGTACTTGGCTGCTGATGCTAGTTTAGTTAGCGCTCACACTTCTGTTTCCTCCATCGGTGGCGGCGGGGGAGTGGCAGATACGCTCCACCGTTACCATCCATGTTTACTTCCATAAACACTGAGCACGCTCGCTGCGTGTGACGTCGTCGTGTCCTCTTCTGCGCATGCGGGACACTTTTGGCTCGTATGAAGTTCACACAGCAGATCACATACAAGTCGCATTGAAGTGGAAACGTGAAGGAAGTCACAAAGAAATCCTCATTGAGCATCAAGTCCTGCAGTGTGAACGTAGCCAATCTGTGGGATTGTTCAGTCAGATAATACGCCGTCATCCTGATTGGTGACATTAAATGTCATGTCGGAGTCACAATCCAAGGCTGTCGCTATGTTAAGGCTGTTTTTATGGGTTCTGTTGGTTTTTCCTAAAAACCTGTCGGATAGCAGGTTTAGGATTGTTAAGGGTCGATTATCAAGTCCCGACTGTATTCTTTTTATATTGATGCAACTTTCAAATGTGGACTATAAGTGCTAATAAAGATCATAAACATTTGGACACACATGAAAACTGTTTACATTTGTAGACGTGTGTTACTGTGAGACCGGATGAAGTGTGTGTTGCAGAGTCTCACCATACTGAGTCACGAGGCTGTGGGCCACATTAGGCACTGCTTTCACAAGGTTTCCCAAGAACGTGAGGGTTGGCAGGAAACGCTTCACAGTGTGCTGGTCACTCAGCTAGATAGGGAATACAATAATCAATATCACACATGCAACACTGTGACCTATCTAGATGAACACGGCACAGGAACAGTTTTATACGGTATAATTGGACAGGCTTTGCTGTACAACACAAGATCAACAGTGTCACATAAACAGCCTCAACACGTTTGCCTTTTTTTTTGTCATAATTTGCAGTAAGTCCAAATTCCTGGGGCAGTTGTAGCTACACAGCGGGCATAAAAGACTAAGACTTCCACAAATGATATTCATGTTTTTCATTTCACATTACAAATTTACCTACAATTACTCCAACACCCCAACTAGGATACCACACAGTCACTTTACCTCCACAAGCCCAAGGTCTTATTTTTATATTTTCCACCTGAAAAAACATCCCCAAATTTAGTGTGCAACAGCTCCACAACTGTGAAGAAAAACACAACAACCTTGGGCACTACAGATAAGAAGCACTTGGAATACTTCCACTTAATGAAAACAGTGAATTAGAGAGGAAATAGTGGCCTTGTAACGACGAGTCAGTAAACACTGTTGTTATTTAACCTGTTCTAAAAATTCTCAGTTGCACTAAATGTAATGAAATAGAAATGAAGCACAACAATGGTACATCCATATTAGTCATAGTAGTGGAAGGCAGCTTTTGCCCTAAATCCTCCACGCTTAAAAACCTTCAAAAAATGGCCGTGAGTTGAATAATAGATGCAGCCTAATCCTGCAGCAGGAAGCTCCAGGGTTAACCTGAGACAAATGCCTGTAACTCATTCAACACCATACAGTAAACCTGCCTCTTTCTCCTGTACTACACTCCGAACAGAAGGTTCTTTAAATACGTTCTGTATAAAAGCCTCTAATCAGGCTCTATTCTGGTCGTATAAATAACACCTGTCTGCCCTGACTGGTGTTATACCTTTCTGTCATCATCAGTATACACAGCTCAACTATTTTCCACCTGCAGCGCCGGCTGCAGAACGAGGCTTCTCCACAACCGCCTCACCCTGAGGTGACACAACAGCAGCGAGAGGGAGACAAGCACACTGACTGTTTACTAAACAGCCCCGGGAGGATATAGTGTTGGTTACACAAGTGCTGTTAAAAGTTTTAACATGTCGGGTGCGTCCCCGTTCCTGCATGCGTACATGAGTAGGAGTGTTTCTCTATATATCTGTAAAAAGTGTTTGTCTCACCTGTTTGTGTACCTCGTCCAAAACAAAGCGAAACGACAGCTCGCTCTGCAGCTCCACAAGCAGCTGAATCAGCACTGGCAAACATAAACACGCACAAATGTATGCATGTACACAGACATCAAACAGAAAGCAAAGAGAGGCATTCATTAAATAAACCTCACAGTGAAGCACAGTTTCACACTTTTGCAGAAAAGTCTTTATGTATTCAGTAATTTAATATGGATTAATCCCAAGTTTTGTCTTTTTAAAATCAACGGTATTTGGTTTCATTTTCGGTTTTCAAGCTTATCTTGTGCACAGCTGTGAAAAGATTTAAGAATTCTTTTGCAATTTCATGCTTCCAACAGTCCATACCGTTCATTAGCATAGCATCTGATGTGACTGCCATAAGGACACGATCCGGGTTTACCTCTCAGCGAAAGCCAAAGCTCTCATTAAGTTGACGGCTTTACACGATTTCTAAGCTGGCGAGTCTTCCTTCTCCACACGCACGCACGCAGATGTGATAACTGCATTATTTATACGGGCTCAAATGAGTTTCAAAATGTGTTCTTCACACATTGTTTGTGCAAAGACCAAAAGCAGTGTCAAAATTTAAGCACTCTACTAACTATTACAGCAAAGTGGTCCCCAAGGCATTTTAAGACAGCTACCATAAAATCATTCTGTCATTTGCACTTACCAAGACATTTTTGCATTTTGAGAGGCTGCACTGAGCCAAATGTGTCTGAGTGCTAAAAACTGCGACTTTGCTGTGAGGCCAGCGTTGAGGATACAGAAAAAAAATCTGCATACAGCTGCCAGAATCAATCAGTACATACAAAGAGAAATTGGTACTTCAGCTATGCACGACGCAGCAGTGAATGATTATCTACATGCAGACTGAAGTCAAAGCCTTCAGAAATGTTGAGAGGCACGAGGAGTCAAAGATCAGCTTCGTTAAAGAGAAGTTGTGTGTAAGTATTTTGGAGAAAAATTCACAGTGTGTGTGTGTTCATATAACTCAAAAGAATGTGCTCATGTGAGTGCAGTGTGAGCAGGCTGTGTGGATGTGTACATACAGTATTTATGTGTGTTTGGTGAGCACACACACACACACACATATTATTCAAACTACAAACAGAAATCTCTTCACCTTGGTCGACCTTCTCCAGAGTGACAGGGTCCTCCACAGTCTGAAGCATCCCTACGGGACAAAAGCATGGACTTGCATGAACTGGTTTAAAAAGCATTATTCACAAACCTCTTGCAATGTACAGAAGTCTCACAAAAATATAATAAGAAAAGGCTTGAAAATTAATATAATCATACAAGAAAAAGTGACAAATTAGGTTAATGAATAAAAATCAGGAGTCATGTCAGGAAGTGTGGCGAGTTTTGCTCGATAGCCAAAACATCAGGCGTGTAAGAAATTCTAACGTTGCATCTGTAAACACTATCCTGCAAGCATGTAAAAAGGCAGAGTGCAGTGGGAGCCGAAAGGCTTATTTTATATTGGATTATACTTTCATTGGCACACGGTGTGGTGCAGTTCAGCAGACCATCCCACAAACACTGTAATGGCTCTTCTAATATCTAGTCATATCGGTCAGAGCTTTTACTGGCTTACAAATCTGCTACATATCCTCTTATTGCACTAATTAATTAGAGCTCAAATGGTTCAGGCCTGATTCTTTACACTCTGATTACCAAATGTTCAGAGGAGGAAAGAGGAGGATGTATCAGCAGTATCTTCTGATGGTGTGGTGATGAAACACACAAGGGTATAATTGCAGCAATAAGGATTTTATAAACCAACTCACCGGTGCGATTTACCTGCCGTTCTCATAACATCTACAATCGTAGTAATTCAGTGTGGTGGGGATAATGTACAGAGCAAGGCATTAAAGTATTAACCGCAACGCAATGTTTAGAACGTTACCTTCCCTGTACGTATTAAAATATAATCTTATAGGTTCACTGGTGGCACTGGATGGTTGTCATATTATTATCTATCCATCATCTATACACCGCTTCATCCTCACCAGGGTCACTGGAGTCTATCCCAGCTGATTTGGACAACTGGACAGGTAACCAGTCTATCACAGGGCTACACTTAGAGACAGACAACCAAGCACACTCACATTCACACCTATGGACAATTTACAATCACCAATTAACCTCAGCATGTTTCTGGGAGGAAGCCAGAGAACCTGGAGAGAACCCACGCTGCACGGGGAGAACATGGAGACTCCACGCAGAAAGATCCTGGGGACACGAGCCAGCGACCTTTTGGCTGCGAGGCAATGATGCTAACCACCGAGCCACCTTTTGTCATCTTATTGATAACTTTACATCCACCCAAGACACATCAAACGTTGTCGTAAATCTTTGCATTTTGTTATTTGATGTGCTGGTTTTTCTGACTTCTATAATCAGACAAGCATAAAGCTGCATGACAAAAGAAAAACATCACTAAGAACAGGTAGGCTGTTTCATTAGTTTTCAAACCACGTTTTCTTCAAACACATTTCTTGGCAGATTCTTGTATTTCTTCCATAGAAGGTGCCAGTACTGCTGCTGGTATTTTGTGCCAGTGTTTCATGCCTTTATCTTACATTTTTCATATGACTGGAATAAGCACTGCCACAGAAATTCACCCATCTGAGAAATATTTACACAGACAAAAAACAAAACTGCCCACGACTCGGCAGCCAATTATTTTAGATGGTCAGTTAGTTCAATAATTCAACCATAAAATAAAACCCCCACTTCTAATACAGATGCCATGAAAAATTACCGTCAGTTAGATGGACCAGACAAAGTGTAATATCAAGGCCCAAATAACTGCTTAGTTCAGCTGCAAATCAATGTTCTGGCTTAATCTTACCAGAGACGGCAAACATATCTCTTAACACCGCTTTAATATGAAAAAAGAAGTGAACTGCAGGTCATTCCTAATATTTAATGGATGATTTTTATTGTTTTGTACAACTGTCTTATGTTGAATAATTTGAATATTTCCATATCTAATTGCTCAGGTAGTGTGATGAGATCAATTAACTCCATTCTTCAGTCTGACCTTGCAGGAAAGCTGGAATGTGACTGCGATGCCAGCACAGCAGTGGACTGACACGGTGGAGTTTAGTTCCAGGGAGTGGGAAGGTTAGACAATCAAACGCAAGCCAATGAGATGTCTAAAGCCCCTTTAAGACGCGCATTACTTTCTGACAGAATGTGAACCTTTTTCATAAAAGTTGCAGCAACAATCTTCCTCGGTCAGACCCAGTAACATTCCTCTATCACTTTAATCACAACACAGGGCTGAACTAAAACGCAGTCACATTATCAAATAGACAAGTGATGCACTTTGAAGCGTGTGAAGCAGTTTGGGGGAAGAATTTTTCCACATTTTAGCATAAATACTGGTCCAAAAACATCACAGAGAGCAAAAGAGAGAGCTTGATGGCAGATTCCCTTTGTTCTACAATTCCACTACAAATGGAAATATCCATAATAATAAAACTTTACGATGATGAAGACAGACTTTACCAGGTCGGAATAAAGAGTCGTACCAATCTGCGTCTTGACGAAACAATTATACACGGGATGCAACAGAAATAACTTCCATAATTACTTGTAATTAGCAATGATCCTGGTAATGAAGACAGTTGTTGTTTGATCAGTCAGGATCATAACACTGTGTACTTTCTCTTCACATCAGATAGGTGAGCTGTCACACACACACAGACGCAGTTTGTATATACGCCACAGGTAAATCATTTGTTAGACAGGGATTTAGATTTAATCTTTTGTTTATCAGAGCATTATTATGCATCGTGTAACTTGCTGTCTCATGTGTATGACGCGTACTGTGGCTCACTCTGACACTTTCAACTTGGAATGAAGCTGCCATTAATGCAGAAATGACCCACGTCTGAATGACATAATGCCGTCACTTCACCAGATTGATTAGGCACCCAGTGTTATATATCGATCGTCTGAAAAGGGCTTTAAACAGCCACTTCTGGGTAGGGGTGCTTCTTGCTTCTTCTTTTTTTTTCTTATCAGCTCAGCTCACAAAACTACTTGCAACTCCACAGAGATACCAGCTAAAAGGTAGAAGTCCAGCTCTTCTTAATCAATCTCACTAAAGCTTCCTTTACATTGTGAAGTGACACTGTGTGCGCTGTGGTTTCTCACCCAGTAGTGTGGCTGTGAAGTGCAGAGAGACTCTGTGATCCTGCTGGAGCAGCTCCCTTAAAGCCCCCGGACAGCACTTCAACACCCCACTGACACCAGATAGGGCAGAAGACTTCCTCACAGCCTGGCTCACACAGACAGAAGCATGTGAGGCTAAATAAAGTCCGTTCATCAGAGGAAATTGATATGATCATTTTCATACGCATTTCTGGGGAATCACACAGAACTTAGATACTTTGCACAGCACACAACATAGCCCACTTAGCTAAATAAATACAGCACAGTTGAGGGTTTGATTTGGTTAGAGGAAAGCTCCACATTCCTCCCAGATGAAACACTTTAACGCTGCTCACCGCGATGTGGTCACTCTCCATCATTTCGACCACACAGGCCACACAGAGCAGCGGCCCGCCCCCCTCCGCGGGCCCGACGCGACCGCTCCACTTTGGGTCGTGTCTGAAGTGAATCTTGTCATAAACGATATCCCCGCTTGTCATTGTAGTCGTTTCACCTGGTGGAACAAAACCACAGCTCGCGGTTTACCTTGCAAGTCGAACGGGTGAGTGGAGAGGCTAGCTAGCTATTGCTAATGCACAACCATAACTAGCTAACTTTAAAATTAGCATTAGCTAACGGTAAAATAGCAACTTACCCACAATTCTCCTTTAGAGGAAGTTGTTGATTTCGGTTAAAAATCCATTTTTAAAAAAGAAGAAAAAAAAGCCTACCTATCGACAAACTCTTTCAATTAAAATACGTTTATTTAATAGGACGAATTATCATTTAAACTAATAAATTGTGTCGCAGATGAACATAACTGCAGTATTTGCTTGTTAGCTACAGAGTGGTACAGCGCGTGCATAGAGTGACTGTCAAAATTCAAAACTTTATTGAACAGTTCAATTCAGTACAGGTTACACATGGAGGTCAATTATCCAGGAGTGCTGGTAGCATGTTTTCATATGTACATATTAATTACTATAATAGTGGGGGAAAAGATATATATGTTTATTTTATTTTATTTTATTTATTTATTTATTAATTGTCAGAACTGCTTGGTTGTATGTGGTTGTGCTGTTAAAATGCATCTAGAAAAAGTTCCCCCAGAAAAATAGCAGTTAGTGGATGTAATGCTTCATAAGCCAAAGAGCACCACAGGCTGAAGTCTGACCACACCACTATTTTGTAGTTATTGGGTGTCTCAGGGTAGCCGCTATCCTAAACTAGCATCGGCAGCCAAGTACTGCCTGTGTGTTCCAGACACTTCCACCCCGACGGAGCGCTCCCCCGGGGTGGAAGTGTCCCCTGACCGCACAGAATATTTGGATATTTTATCATAAATTGGGCCTGAACATCCAGAGACCAGAAAGTGCTATTGGGACCAGCCCTACTAGTTATTATAACAACTCTCCATCCATCCATCATCTATACACCGCTTAATCCTCACTAGGGTCGCGGGGGAGCTGGAGCCTATCCCAGCCGGCAGGGGACACCCTGGACAGGTAACCAGTCTATCACAGGGCTACACTTAGAGACAGACAACCAAGCACACTCACATTCACACCTACGGACAATTTAGAATCACCAGATAACCTCAACATGTTTTTGGACCTTGTGGGAGGAAGCTGGAGAACCCGGAGAGAACCCACGCTGCACGGGGAGAACATGGAGACTCCACGCAGGACGATCCCGGGTGTCCTAACCGGGACGCGAACCGGCGACCTTCTCGCTGCGAGGCAACGGTTCTAGTCAGCTGCACCACCTTGCAGCCCATTATAACAACTATGAACAATAATGAACAACTAATGATCCTTCCAGCATCAAGCCCTCCTTGTATCTGGACCTCTGTCTTGACAATCCGACAGCCTTGATGTCCGACATGAAAGAAGGTTTTACATTTAGTGTCGGATCATCAAGTCACAACTGTGGATGATGCATAATTTTAAGACTAAAACAGAGTCTTCACAAACTTTGTATGATCTTGTGTTCTATACAATAAAAACGTGTTTGCCATATCATCACATCTGCACCTTTTTTACACGAATTGAAACATCTACTCCGGTTCCATATTTCTTGTTGATCTACGGCAAACTCGCTCCTTTATGCAGCAGTGCTTTCAAAATGCATTAAATGTCGAACATCCACGAGTAGGATAATACGTTATTTTTGAGGAAATGGCAGACACGTTAATCTTCAAAGTTATGTATCAGCCTCGATTTATGCTCCGAGGAATGTCATCGCTGAATAATATGCTGCGAGTGTTTGTGTATGAGTTTGTTTTGCAGGATCAGTTAGCAGCGAAGGCCGCAATTTGGTTATCGCCATGACAACAAATGCCTCACAGCAACTGAGCTACTATGTGATGATAGGTGTGCGTGGGCGAGCAACAGCTACTACCAACATGTCAATTTATAGTCTGTCTCTGTTTCTCCTTAAACAGAGTTCACTGCACATCACAGTAATGCATCACGTACAGCCGGCCCTCAGCGTGAGTGAGTGTTCCTCTGTGACGGAGTAAATGAGTGTGCACGAGTGTGTGCACTGAGCTAATCTCTCACAGTCTGCAATACGTGCTACTGCTGACAAATGCGCTCAGCTCCAGCAAACATATTGGAGGCAGAGTGTGCTGTATTGGGACTGCATGTGCAGGAAGTGGCCAAAGCCTCGTTTGGCTGACCGAGAAGAGTAGCAGACCCCTAGAAGATATCGGTTTTCTGAAGCCTTCATTTGTGCTTTATTGGCTCCTGTGAGAGAAAAATATACCAAAGAGAGAAGGAGACAGGCCATGATGAATATCTGTCAACTTTATTTGACAACTGTTTCCCATAAACAATCCTTCGGGGGCTTGTATAGCGCCGAGACAAATAGATGCAGCTTGTGTCTGAGCATAAATGGAGACTCAGCATGCGAGCGTTTTTCACATCGTCGCTGGGCCTCAGCTTTTCTCTCATTAGTGCTGAACAACTTCCTCTGTTTCTCCTCGTCACACACAGATCAGTCTGTTGTGTGAAACAGATGACAGATTATGGAATACTTTCTGCTGATTTCATTCCACCACCCGTACAGCACTCGCCAGGGTGTTAAACTAATCTAAATATAGCTCTATACCTTTAACAGTCACCTCAACCCACACGTTGTCACTTCATCACTCTGCTCACAGTGCTGTGAAAAAAAAAACAGGTCTGCTGTTAACTTTTACAAATGTAGAAACAGCATTTTCTTTTTGGGGAGAAGGAGTGATGACAAACGCCTCTGTGGCAACCCTTTATGTTCACTCTACGGCATATTTACCGTGAAATTGCAGCACTGCTTGGCGGCACTGAGCTGATTCACCACCGACAAACAACACACAGTGTAGTTTTATTCAGAGGGACTGCGTTTTAAAACACAAGCATACATTTCAAGAGGCATTCAGGGGACGCGTCACCCCTCAACATTTGATTTTAAAAATGCATGAAAGAAGAAAGGGACTGGATTCTGTTTTCTTTTACATAAATAATGAAAATTCGACCGTAAAACGATGCAGAAAAAGTGCAAATTGGTGCATAAAAATTCACCAGAATGCAGAAAACCAAGTGTTTAATGCTCTGAAATTTCTGTGGGAGGATGCCCAGAGCCATGCTGACATGTGCCCACCTTATGTTCAAATAAACCAAGCGTCTATAATCTCTAAATATCTCTAAACACCAAGAAATCATTTGAAAAAGACTGATCTACCCTGTTAAAAAGTTCTGTCTTTTTATTGAGCTCCATTATTCTAAAGTAAATAAATAAATAATGAAGCCAAAACACGCTCTGTGGAAGAGGAAAATGGCTCTGGGGGCTGTTAAGAAAACTTTGGTCGTTAAAGTGCGTGGGATGAAGGAGGAAGAGGGCGGGACGAGGACGCGGCTCCGTGCGTCACACAAGCGTCGCTCGGTCACCCGGGCGTTGCGTTCAGGTGCGCTTTGCCCTCAGAGGTGACAAGTGTCTAAAACCGGCACCATGGATTATACCAGAGCGACGAGCTGTCAATTATGAAAAGAAAATGTTAAAGCAGCGTTCCAGTGTCGGAGAAAAACGGAGGATTAAAGTGAAAATATCTACCGACGGTAAGAGGTTCAACACTTCTGCTGCTCCATGGTGCGTCTGTGGACCTCAGTGCGTCTGTGGACCTCAGTGCTCCTGGCTTGTTTTGTGATATTTATTCATTTATTTTTTCCACGTGGCGTTAATGTATTATGTCTTAAACTTGATTACTGTACTATTGCACTACGTTACCTTTTTGACTTGCAGGAACTTTTATAAAACTTGACTCAGGTTAAGCTTCATAAACTTTGAAAACACTCATTGCAGCTGTTGTTGGTTCAGTTTAGAAACTGACAGGACAGGAGTGGGTGCAGTGTCACTTAAATGTCAGCATTGTTTTACCTCTCAGTTGAACAGCAAACTGTTTGTGAAATTTTCAAAACTAACTGTTTAGATTTACAAGATGTGGAAATCATCTCAGGTCAATGCACTTTTCATTGCTGAGATTGAAAACTTATTTCTTCAGTGTTTCACTTGTCCACTGTTATTCTGGACCGACTCCAGCTTGGAGGATGTTGATGGTAAAAAACAAAACAATCAGGCGAGATGTTCCTCAGACTATTTTTTCCAGCTGCTCTTTGCTGGGTTGAGTCGTGTTGTTTTGTCTTTAAAATGTCCCAAATATGACTGAAGTCATGTGGCGTGCTTGCCCAGGTCACCGTTTTCATGTTGGTCTTATTTAGAAACTCTTGTGTGAATTTGGCAGCGTGCTTCGGATCATTATCGCGCTGGAATGTTTCTCTTCTGCCAAGCTTTTGCCGACTGGGAGTCATCCAGTCAGCCAGTATTTTGGAATATCCTCCGGCCGTCATGGTGCCATCTATAACTTGTCATCAGCACCGTTTGCCCTCAAGTAGCCTCTTATCGTCGCACTCTCACCTTTGTGCTTCACTGTCAGGACTGTGCATCCACTGCTTCAGTCCTGGCCAGGTTTACATCGAACATGCTGGACGTTATCTGACGTCATCGGTCTAATCTGGCTAAAGAATGTGCTCCCAGTATTCCCAGTGTTCTTTAGCAAAGCTTGTGGTTTTTGTATTGAACAGCAAAGCAAAGGTTTTCTTCTTGGACGTTATGCAATGTCCTTATCACCGTCTGAGCTGTCGCATAAAGTCAGATTTTCATTGATGTTCCCTCCACCATCTGTGTTTCAGAGCTAGATTATGCCAGTAGCACGCCGTCCATGATGTCACTTCAGGACAACAACAACAACCGCAGCCCTGATTAGTGGTACTGTGACTCGATCTATACCTCCTGATTACTGCTGCAGCAGCTGTGTTCCCACTCATTTGTAGTTGATCATCAATCTTCTACGTCTTTGTAAATCTTGCAGTCAGGTGTGGAGTCACGATGCAGACATGCAAGACGTCCAGGATCGTTCTGGTTGCGTTTCTACTTTGGGTTTTGGATTTTTAGTGTCGTCTGTATGAAGTATTTTTTTTTGATCGTACATGAGAGGAACTACTCTGCTGTTCACCTTAGAATTAAGATTACAGTTTTGAATCATTTGAGGTGTTTTTCCACAGGTGTGTCCTCACTTCTGTTGTATACACGGACGTATACGTTGATTCTGATTTTACCCGTCGCAGCTTGACTTCCTACATAATCTTTGAGATGCGTGATTGCAGTCACAAAGGTTGTCGTGACGACCTCCACGCTTTTGCTCATACGAATGAAAGTGCACCACTAGTTCATGGGAGATCAGAACACACAAGATACCTGCATGCACCGCTGAACTTCAGAACCCACAGCGTTTAGCAGACTGACTAACGGAAAGACTATTTTAGAATATGCCACAGACTCTGCTGTCAGTACGTCAGCCACAGCACAGAAGTAAGATTAAAAAAAAAAATCTGAGATACCGACATGCAGCAACAAACCACAATGAGTCTGTAAAGCGTGTCAGCAGATGGATCAGTATAGGGTTTCTTTTACCCTGCTCACATAACTGCTATTGATGCTGTTGACTGCAGTTTGTTTTGCCTTGTCTTATCTTCAGGCCTCCTCGAAAAAAGGCAAACACTCAGGCTTATTTCCTATCTCAACCTTTTTGGTCAGCACTTTCCACATAACAAACAAACAGGGGAAAACTGTACCAATAACACTGGCTGGCATAGCCCCTATGCTCAGGTATCCACACGTATAGACAGTGCAGGTACTGTGCGAGCCCGTGAGTCACCCGGCGAGGTGGCAGGTACGCCGGTGATGTGGCGTCCTCTTGGCCAGAGCCCTCATATTCTGTCCTCGGCTCACACCAGCCGGGGGAGTATTTGCTTTCACCACAAAGACAGTGCACTGTTCAGCACACTAACTTGATCGGGAGATGGGGGGAGGAAAATAAAACCACAGAAATGTGAGGCTTTTTGTTTAGATGGGAAAGTAGTGACAAGAGAGAGATGATAGAGTCTGAGTATCCCCAATTTACAAAGATGCTCTTCATATCTGAATGCTTCGGGCATGACGTAAATCAAAGCGACATAAAAAAAAAAAGTCACTCCAAACTGTGGGGCTGTGAAAAGAGAGGAAAGAAAGACAGTGGTGAATGAAAGAGACTTGCTGACTGAAGAGGATGGGGGGGAAGAAAAAAGAAGCTATGCCAGGCTACATTCTGCCCAAGTGTTGAAAATAAAAGCTGTAAGACAGATTTTCTGACTGACTGTAATGATGAAAAGGCAATGGAACTGATAATGAACCATCATTACTGTAGCGGTGATGGATTTCCATCTTCGCGCTGATGATATGAGGAGATTCAAATTGATTAACAGGAAGGAGTCTTGGCTCTTCTACACGCCTTTCATTCTTTAATTAGATCGATGGGTCTTCAGCTTTGTGCGCTGGAAGACTCCATTCAGAGCGAATAAAACCCGTGTCACATAATCGTAGGTGAAAGAAGAACAAAAGGGAGAATAGTAAGAGGCACAAAAATAAATGCTTCAAGGCATTTTCATCTGCTCTGTACAGGCATGGCAACTTTTACCCATTTATCCGCCCACACAGCAGCGCTGCTTTGCTCAGCCTGTGCTCATCCTTCAAGTCAGCAGAAAATTGTCTTTTACTGCAGGTAAATTTGTGTGATCCTGACTTTATTTTCTGTTTTTATTTCTCTCTTTGTATTTCTCACTTTAATCGCCACTGCGCTCCGAACCAGATTTCTATTAACCTTTGCTTTCTGCGAATCTCTGCGGCTCTCACGTCGGGGTCGCTGATCTTTCTTTCCATTGCTTAACCAATCTGTCACACCTCCTACTATTTCCTCCTTTTCTTCGGTTATATCTTCTTCTGCTCTGCCCTCTTCAGACCTTCTCTCTTCTCTTCTCCTCTCCTGTCCTGTCTCTGTCATGTCTGTATCCATGAGGAACCCACCCCAGCGCCGGCGCTCTCTGGGTCCCGTCTCGCCCAAACGCATCTACAGAAACCTGTCGGTGAGACTGAGGGGCGGAGAATCGTCTGTCGCTGCCGAAATAGACGCACCGAAACACCTCAGCAAGTCTGCAGATGCTGTGAGATATTCAGTTCTCTTTTTTTAGATCTGACATGTCATTATCATTGAAATCATGACCTCTCTCCTTGACACTATTCACCGACTCCTGAGACCAGATACTTCGTTTATGTGTCTCTCATGTGCTTTTTTATTTGCACATAGCCAATAATGGTAAAACCTCCTTTGCAATTATATCTCGACTGCTTTTCCCCCAAAATGACTTTCCTACAACTAATTCTCATCTACATTTTGAAATTTTTTGTTCTTGTGACGTGGAAGGAAAGCCTTGTACTTGTGATATCACAAACTAATGCACACCTTTCCTTTAGAAACGTCGTCATTTTAGTGAGACAGGCCTGCTTTTGTTGTCCTTCACAACAGGAAGTGTCAGAATGACTCAGCTTGATAACCACATTTAGATCGAGAAAGAGGAATAAATATTAAACAGTGTTAGTCTGAAGTGTTTTTAAAACTACAAATTTGTGATGCACGATACCGATTTTAAGATTTCTGATATCGCTGATAACCGATATTACCGATGTCGATATTCAATTTTTGTTCACACTGAAAAATGAGTATAATAAGCAGAGACAGAGAACGTGAAAACTATTCAAAAGAATCCCAAATTAAACCACATAGTCGTCTTTATTACGTAACAAAAGTAAAACATATTTATACATATTTTAAAATATTTAACGTTCAAGTTCAGGAACATTTAAGTAAAAACATCTGTGAAAAAGCAGCAACATCAAATGTAGACGTGTAAATGTATGTAAATGTAAATTTTGGCTAAATTTGTTCATCGGACCGATACCGATGTGGTCGCTGATATATCGTGCATCACTACTAAAAATCGTTTTATTTAGATATAAATGAATCCGCATAGATCACTTTCAGTCAGTGTTTCCTTTGGTGGACAGGAGACAAGAAGTTAGTCTAACATTTATTTTTTAAGTTCATGGTACTTTTAAAAACAGGGATAAGTAGAAATTGGATTCAGGTTTTAACCTTATCCTTTGGCATTCACTTTTTGTTTGATAGACTAAACTGCATCACAGTACATGCTAAACATGCATTTATATGGAGAAGTTTGTTGTAATTTGTTCATTTTGTGTTGATTGGCAGCTGTCATTGGTTGATACAGCAGGTCATTGATTATAGGGGCGCTAGTTTGACCCACTTGATCCTTCTGGTCAGTTAGAAATAATCTTTTAGCAGCTTAATGCAGCTCCAGTTCAGCCGCCTGGTGGTTTTACTGCCTCAGGTGTAGTGAAAGTGAAACGCTGTAAAGAGCATCCTCCTGCCGTGCACGGTGCAGATACAGTCCATCAACTATATTTGCTGGTCCTGTCTAATTTGCACCGGGTTATTTGCTGAGTTGGAGTGCTTCTGTGTGAGCGCGTTTAGGAGTGATATTTATGATCTTAACAACCGCTGACATAAATATGTTGCATTAAAAAATGCGAAGCCGATAATTTTCAGCGTCCATTTGAAGTTGGCGAGTTTAACGACCGGCTGCTTTTATACGCCAGGAGACACATTATGAGGGAAAATAAGCAGCAGCGCCGGGCCTGAACACTTCCACCTTCAGACTGCAGCTCACCATCACAGTCTCACAAACAGAGACTCAGACCTGCAGGGTTTTAATAGGAACAAACCGACTGCGAATCAGAAACAGAAACAGATTTAGTTTACACAATACGAGGAATTTGTTCTGGTGAGTTGGTGCAACAATAAATATAGAGTAAGGTACATATGCAAGATGAAAATATAGAAATAGCTAAAAAATAAATAACTGTAGTAGTGCAAAACAGACGCAAAACATATTGTGGAGTGAAGAATTACAGTTAAATTTAAATAAGAATAATATTATTTACAAGAATCCTGAGAATATGTTGATATTAGTATCGTTATTCTTCTCCAGAATGCTTCTGTTTTGAACATGCATGGCCGAATTACTCCGACATCACGACTCGAGCAGTTTCACAGCGTTTGAGTAGAGTCACGGGCGAGCTGGTGTGCTCGAGCTGCAGCGCCTTAAGGAGGCATGAGTGGAGGGAAAGACGTAGATCTGCGCATCAACGACGTAGAGATGCGTCAGTGGTATTTTTTAATGAGATTGTTTTTGTGGAAAAAACTCTAAATATAACTTTTATAGAAGGAGATGAGGGTCCCAGAGAGGGAATTCTTTTATTTGTTTATTTGCAAAATTCTCTTCTCGTGTAAACACGCAGAGAGCAAAGACAAACACCGCCCACGACAAAATACAGTGTTAGTGTTACGCTTCTTAACTTCGAATTTCTCCATAAATCTTCTCCTTTTCTGGTCTCAGGAGGTTAACGTATGAACCAATCATCCTCATTTATGATGTGATTAATGCTTCCTGTGTTACTATCTCATCCGCTTCCTCTGCCTCCGCCGCAACCTTGTGAAATAAATCTGTCTTTCTTTACAAACCCTCTCCCTTCCATCACACTCCTCCCGTGGACCCCCGCACCCTTTCTCCGGCTCCCCATCAGTACAAGACCCTGTGGGAGGCGGTGGAGAATGAGGACACTCTGGCCGTACAGAGCCTGCTGTCCAGAGAGCAGATGAGCTGTGGAGGAGGAGCAGGAGGAAGCATCTGGGAGAGAGGAGAGAAGAAAGAGAAGGACTGGGAGAGGGAGAGGGAGAAAGGGGTGAACAGGGTCAGCGAGCAGGGCCTGGTCCCGCTGGACGTGGCCGCCCTTACCCACAACTCCCCTCTGCTGCATGTGCTGACGAAGGCGGGAGCCAGGCATAACCCCGTTTGTAAGTCTTGTGATTTAAAACATCAGAAATGATTCAATGGAAGTGTGTGGGTTTTAAAATACCGCGTCGCCTCTCAGTGTGCCGGCCGGCCGAGTGGGCGCTGAAGCTGGACTCTCTGGTGGCGCTGGCAGGTAAACGGGTGGAGGAGAGGAAGACGGAGCTGGTGAGGAAGGCGGGAGCAGGACCTCAGGCTCAGGCTGACGTCCAGAGACACATCCGCCTGTGGAGGCTCAGGCTGCAGCTGTACTGCCGCATGAGAGAGAACTTCCAGAAAACAGGTTGGTGGTCGCGTGATTGCTTCCTCGCTATTAGAAATCCTGTACTTTTGTTATCTTCAGACTCTGTTGGAGCGAGATAGGTCCTTTTCCCCGCCTCCAGTCCTCCTCTCCATCACCGATGACCGGACCGCAGTGATCAAGCATTCAGCCCACCGTCTTGCTGGAGTTTTACTGATTTCCATTCTGCCCTCTTGTAACTCCTAACTGGCTTCTTTAAAGTCTCCCTCCAGCCACGTTCAACTCATCCAGAATTCAGCAGACTGCCTCGTCATCGGGCTTCCCAAATTCACTCCCTTCCAGTGGCTGCCTGTATCGAACCTCGCTGCTGGTAGATACCTGAGTAAAAATCCACACCTGGGATGTCCTCAAGGCGTCGGTGCAGCCTGCGTCGCTGCATTTCCATTCTTGCATCGACCTGTTGGAGTCTTGCCTTCTTCCTCTCCATTAGTGTTGTTTTTTTTCCAGAATCGTGCTCCGATGTCCCCTCTGTACTTATTGTGATTGCTCTTTATAGATGTTTCCCCCTTAGCTCTTATTTCATTTCTGTTTCAAGCACTCCCAGTTCTCTGCTTTTATGACCACGGTGTTATTGTAAGAGCAATCAGGCACCAGCTCGTCGTCTCCTGTGCGGTGAAACTAAGCTTTCTCTTTCAAACGTAGGTGTTTTTTTTTCTTGTCTGAGGCCAGTGACTTACAGTAATCTGTTCACTCAGGTCACAGCTTAGGCTGGAGAAGCTCTAAAACCCCTTCGGCTGGAGTCAAGAGGCTGAACAACATTCAAATCTGATCACAAAACTGAAACTCTGGGCTCGTGCCGAAGGAGTTATGCAAAAATCCACTTCTGCATTGTTTTTGAACATAATTGCATGTCCCCAGTGCATCTAGAATAAGAGAAAACACACATCCCTTCATTCCCTTCCCTTCTCCGTGGATCAGAAAGCGAGTCTCCTCCTCTTCCCCTGGGCTCTTCTCTGCAGAGTAGATGCAGAGTAGATGCAGACAGAGGTGCATATCAAGCCATTTTAACATTTAATACTTAGAGTGGATCTCTGCGATTCTTCCCGCTCAAAGAGAACATTTCAGATATCGTCATTCTCTCAGGACAAATGCCTGTTACCATCCATTTGACTAGTTCTATTTCCAGTTTCAAATATCTACACTTTAATTCTGACTTGCCACAATTGTAGTTCAAGATATCTTTAGTTTCCATCCAACGTATCTGCATCGTCCCTTTCAAGATATCTCGAATTAAATTTGAACCAGACAGAATGACGTTATAGATATCGGTCAGAATGTAATTACAGATATCCTCACTTGCAGTTTTAAATGGCGCTGCAGATATCTGGAGTTACGTCAGGAGCTTCTGCTTTTCAAACATTATAACGCTGCAACTGCACATGATGGGCAGTTTTACCGCCGCGTCAGAGCAGCCCGAGGCCAAACCTCTGGTTAATTTCAACCACAAGTCTCTGATGAAGAAAGAAAGAAAGAAAGAAAGAAAGAAAGAAAGCTCTCCACAAACTTCTTGCTGATAATCTCTTCCTGTTTCGCAGCATTTTCTATTAATCTTATCTCCCACGGCAGCCATCATTAGTTCTGCTAACGTCGTTCAAACGCCTCGATGGGCCGGTAATCCAGCGGATATGAGCGGCATCGACGATTTGGACGAGTCATACTGAAACCTAACGTGTGAAAACTGAATTGCGGATGTCTCAGAGTGTCGTTCTGACTGGTCCGAGTGACTTCATAGACATTTAGAATCCTGACTTATCAGAGTGCAGCAGCAGCTACTCAAAACGATGCCGCTGATATCTGTCGTTTTAATTCTGGTCGGTCAGTTATTAAATGTTAAAGCAGCTTGTCACAGAGACGTGCCTGCAGCCCTTCTCTGAAACAGGGTGTGGACAGCAGCAGCTCGGTTGGATTTAAAGCTACAGACCCGTGTGGACCATAGAGGCGGTGGAGGGACTGTTGTGTGCAGACATTCTGGGGGCATGTGAGACGTGTTCAGAGGGGTGTAACATGGTCAGGGTGTCAGCTGTGGTTATAGTGAACATCTCCCACAGTGTCTTGAAACAACACAAAGCTTCATGAGAAGAACATTTAAGCAGCATCTGGTTGGTTAAAGTGATCAGATTCTTGTCTGTGTGTTTTGCTTCTTTAACTGCATTCAGGTCAAATTTGTTTAACAATCAAGTCATGCAGTACACCGTTCACTTCAGCACTCTTATTCTCTGTCTTTGTTGTAATACTCTCAAAAAAATAAAACCAACTCGTGCTCATTTTTACCCTCAATTTGTCTTTTAAATGTCTCACCCAGAGCTCCCCAGCCCTCCCAGTCATGTGTCCATCCTGGTAACCAGCACGTCGACTCTGTTTGTGGTGATCAAAGAGCCAGAAGGTAACACCACGGGGCTCATCACCCGCTACAGAGGTAGGTGGTGAATACGATGAGAAGAATTTGATGTATTATGGATGGACGGATAGATAAATGGCTCAGGGAGATGTAGGGTAAAGATTTGACAGAGGTTTGATCAATAACTGAAGGAATTATTCATTTAAGCTGGCGGGTTGTAAAAGCCTCGTCTTTGTGTGTCTAGTTCAGGCTCCGTTTTTGCTGCTTAGCTTCACAGATGCATAAATGTCAAACTTCACAGCCAAGAATGGATTAGATCCAGGTGCAGCAAGTTCCCCAAACTGTAAACACTCGGATCCTTAGTTCCACCTTATGGGGCTTTTTTTTTGAGAAAAGACAGGGACTAAATGTGTCACTGGGATTGTTTTGTGCTCACAGTGGAGTGGAGCACCTCGGCCAGCTTCAAACGCATCCTTGGCTCAGCACAAGTTACCGAGACCAAGAGCCCCTCCTATATCATCAAGGGACTGACAGCAGTAAGTCACGCGCCGCACGCATCCACACATATCAGCTGCAAGCACATACATAGATATAGATATAGAAAACCCAGACGTGTAGCGGCTCAGCGACACATAATAATACACACATGCAGCAGCTCTACAGCCCCGACGCCGACTGTATTTATTGCTCCAGCATCATCTGCTGCACCGAGCCGCTTCCCATACGAGAGCACTTATCAGCAGCCGTACTCGAGCAGATGAATTAATAATGAGAGCGCTATGTGATTTCTTTGTCTTGCAATGGATGATTCATAAGGTTAATGCATGGTGATAATTTGGCGGTCTGGTGCTTGTCCAAACACAGGGAGTGCATTACTTTGTGAGAGTGAGCGCCTACAATGTGAAGGGATGGGGCCCGCCTCAGTGCTCCACTCCAGTCAGCGCTGCCCCCTCCAGTGAGTACACCGAACTGCAAAGCTGTGATGAATGTGGACAAAGTGCTTTGAAAAGGGCTCCATCCTTTGTCTCTCTGTCCAACTGTAATGAAATTACTTGGCTGACATCAGGCTTGATATGAAATAAGTGGAATCACTCATGGCTGGTGGATAAATGGAACCTTGTCTCCTTTTGCTGCTTTGAGCTTAAACATCATTTAGTTTTTTTGCAGCAAAAATAGAAATACGTAAGTCAGGATAGTGGTGATATGAACAATACTGGATAACACAGTTTAGCTTAAAATTCATGTCTGAATTAAAACGAGACCGTTATAGTGACTCAGAATGAGTCAACACCGAAACTTTCAGAGTCACAGTGCACAGATGGTCGCTCGTGCAAGCGCTCTGGCTTCCTAATCACCAAAATGGAAAAAAAAAAAAGACTCATGACTCGCCTGCAAATTAGTTCTTGGTGTCTGAATGATTTTTCCTGATTGCATAGAAATGAAAGTGACGACCTGCTTCTCTCTTTCACCCCGAGCAGGCTGGAGAGAGTGCATCGGCGTGAAGTCCCAGTTCAGAAACCACGAGGGCCTCGTGAGGAAGCTGCTGGAAGACGCCAAGGAGTCACATTATAGAGGATACTGCATCGGTAACACCGGGTGTTTGGTGATGTATTTTCTTACAGTCGCTGCAGATGTGATGCAGGACGGTGGTGCAGAGTTTAGTGCTGTTCTTGGGTAGAACCTATGAGGGCCTTTCTGTGTGTTTTTTACACGTCCGCCATGTGCCTGCATGGGTTTTCTCCTGGTTTTTTACTCCCACATGCATGTTAATTGGTGATCCTAGCCTGACATCAGGTGTGAGCATGTATGGTTGTTTTATGGACCCTGCCTGTGTCGGCAATGATAGATTCCACAGAATAAAGCAGCTATAGGCAGGTTCTAACTAATGGATGAATGCTGCAAATGCATGTGCTGCTCCTGTTGAGTAAGCATATGTTTGCCCATAAATGGGTATGCTACATTATAGTGGTGAAATTAATACAAAAAAAATAATATAATAATAACTTGAATGAAATATTTTTGACTCATTATGCAGTAAGAATGAATTTAGACTTCCTTTATTTGTCGTTGCAGATTTACACGGTGCACGGCAGAATGAAATTTCGTTGCATTAGGCTAAAAAAAAAGAGACAAACTATATATGCAAAAATAATAAATAGGTTTAAAAATGTGGGGGCATTAACAGTAGAAAATATAACTGAAAGAAACTCTGAATCAAACCTATTATTTAAATAAGTATTAGAGTGTTTTCCCTCCTTTTTCTATCAGGTCTTCTTGTGTTTTGACCCACGCCAGCATGTATTATCTAAATCACAAATACATATAAATTAATCAAGCAGATGGTGCTCCAGTGGGATAGAACTGTTTTCAATACTTTATATTAGTAAGTTTATACCCTATTTTCTGTTTTATTACATGTTAAAAGTCATAAAAAAGATCAGATTAGTTCTAATGTTGTATAAAAACTTGATACGCTCCAATTTTATTCCTCCCTCGCACCATTTTGCGCCGTACATGTCAATTCTGTTCGATACGAAGAAAACTACTTCGCCGTCTTCAACCAATCGAATACCTCGTGCGTGCACCTTGAACGTATTTTGGCAGATGAAGTGATTTTCACCCGGTTTGATCCTCCTCTCCCCCTCTTTCCACAGAGAACTCTAAGCCCCAGAGCCCCAGCAAGCGTCTGTCAGTGTCTCGAGGCATCAAACAACTGTTCCAGTCCGCCACCAAGTTTGTTCGTCTCCTACAGAGGTAGCGCTCCATCTGTCTTACCTGTCCCACTGCGCCTCGGGGGTGTCAGGAGTAACGGATTTAATGTGATGCGATTACAGCAGTGCAGACTACAAAGTACAAGTCCAAACTCTTATCTGTTACACTTATTGAAAAGAACAGTAGTCACATTAGAGCTGCTGCAGCCGCGAGATTAGGGAAGAAAACCCTCGACAGGACAATGAGGTGGAATCAGTGGACTGTGGCCAGTGGCGGGTGATTGATACAGGCTTCTACCTGCTGCAAGCACCGACTGTACAGCACTCACCAGAACCAGCGGCTAAGAAAGAATGAACAGGACAGCTCCTAAATAGGAAAGGGTGGCCATGCATGAAAACGAACCCTAACTGTGTATTTAGGTAGTAGTTGAACACAGAACAGAAGAATAAACATCATTTACATAACGGCTATTTGCAGTTCAATTCAATCTGAAGTTGTTTTTTTTTGCTTTTGTCACAAAACTCACTGTTTTTCTCTGCAATATAAAGTCCTGCAACTCTGTGGAAATGGAACAACCATGGCTAGAAGTAGAGACAATTGTTCTGTGCAGTATAGCAAAGCTGAAAGCCATAAATCATAAAGAGAATTTCTTTGATTGTTTATCTTACAAAAAAATGAGAGAAGTCCTCACGAGTGTTACCAATACTACACCCTATAGATTACTGCCTCTGCTCTGTGCATACACAGCCTGCAGTTCAGCCCAGAAATCCCAGAATTTTAGTCACAGGACCGTTTTCCCACCAGAGTCACTAATTTCTTCACGGTTAGGAGTACAGAATTTAGGTTAATGTTTGTATGAGACCTGTAGAATAAAAGTGATTTTGATGAATTTGGTGAATTTTCTTTCATCACACTTAGTTCAAGGCGTGTCAGAAAGGTTTTCCATAGACAATTCTTTTGGTTTTTACAGCTTCTGTCTCTGGTGATTTAAAAAAACAAAAAGATGACCAAAAAAAAAACACCCCCAAAAAATCCATTTTGCAATTTCAAAAAAGATGCTTGTATTGACTCCATGTTGAATTTTGAAAGTGAAAGCAGTCTGTGTCTGTCATAGAGATCCAGAGTAAACTATTCTATTGTTTCTGACTCTGTGTTTTCTCTTCATTTCTAACGTTCTCATCAGGGGCGTGTATTTGGCCACCGTGTTCTACCACAAGGAGAACATCCTGCTCACAGCTGAAGATCAGATCCCACTGGTGGAGATCCAGTGCTGCTCCACCTCCATCACCCACGACTTCCTTTGGTTTGCCAAGGTGCCTCCTATTCGACTGAACTGCATTCATGTCTATGTGTTGAAAGACGTGTTTTCTCCCTGAATGGCAAGACTGTGACAAACAAGAAACGCAAAAAATAAATAAAAGCACATAGAATATGACATTATATAGCCCTCTTCCTGCAGCTGTTCCCTCTCCACTGTCACCCCACAAGCATTCACTTTAAGATAAAAGTCAAGATTCATTAGTGGGTTAAGCCGGGATCCTCTCTCTGAGCCGTCAAACCAGCACCAGACTTGTTGTGATTTGTAGTATCTCACTTGATCAGTGCAAATTCCTGTAAACAAAAAATCTCCCGTCACAGGCAAGATTTTCTTAAATTGCAAAAACACTGAAAGGTTGGCATTGATTATTTTTACCCAGAAACCACTGCCTACTCCAGCTTTAAGTCTTTTACTCATTGTTTATTTTCAGTTTTCACTTTAGCCACTAAAACTGATGGGTTAGGTTTAGGAAAATAGTGCAATATGCGACCCCATTTAATATGTGATTGATTGGCTAAAAAGGAAGGACAGTAAAGCATACATATGTTGATTTGGAACTTATTTACTCTCCGTCACCAACAAGCATAATCCAGCAGAAAACCTCAAAGTGTAACTGAGAATGCAGTTTAGTTTTATCTGCAGTAGATGATCTTTATCTGGAACACAGTCAACACACACGTGACGTTTATTACGGCCCGTTGTTTCTGATGGAGGCTGTTTTCTCTACCGCTGACTGTCTTTTTTCCTGCAGCTCTCCTGTGCATGGCAGCAGGTGCCCTGGCTCCAGCAGGCCCTCTCCTCCGCTCACTCGTCGCCCTCCTCCCTCCTCCAGAACAGACACAACATTTTAAGAGCCGTTTCCCAGCTGCAGGTAGGAAGTTAAGCAGCTTACTCTTAAGATAAGATACGTCAAAATGGGTTAATTGCTATTTTAATGACCTCTTTACATCTCTTCCTCCTCCTTCTTTTCTAATTTTTTCCTGGGCTTGCGGACTACATACCTGTACCTGCGGTGTTTCGCCGCATTAATCCTTAATATCCTCATTTTTATTCAGCCTCATGTTTCTGTTTCTCTGCTGTCAGTCTTCTCTGGGAACAGAGGACCTGGGTCAAGTGTACTACGAACCACTCAAAGACAGGCAGGGCAACGTGCTGCTGGTGACTCTGAAGGAATTTCCAAACCCTCCCAGGTGAGAAGGAGTCTTATGTTATATTCTGTTAATCCCTGTCAGCCTTTTTTTTCTTTTTTCTCGTGAAGGCTGTAACGTCTGTCTTCTGTTTGCAAGGCAGGTCTCCAACTCATCAGTCAGCTGCTTCCAGTCACATCCCACTGACTCATAATGAAACGTTTCCAAAAATGAACCACATTGAATCAATCAGTCTGCGAGACTTTTTTTTTTTTTTTCAATCAGCCAAATCAGAATTTCTTCTGCTCAAGGGAGATAACAACCTAATTGGTTATCAGGCTGGTTATATGAATCAATCCAACTGTTTCACTGGTGCTTGCATTTAATTTTTCCTCGTCTGCTCTCCAGCCCTCCTGACCCCCCGCTCCACTGGATGCCTCTGGCCCGCCTGGAAAAGAACCGCAGCAGAACTCCTCTGCTGCCGGAGCCCACTGCCATGGACATGCTCTATGAGCAGCTCAAGGTGAACCTGAGTGTGTTTGAAAGAGAGACAAACAGAGAATCACAGACATTCCCAAGCAGCAGCAACAAAATGTTCTGAGCCGTGATTTTATCTCGTGTGCCACCAAAAAATGCATTCAGATTAATTTAGCGAGCCCGAACCGAAACAGCTGACAGGAAATAAAAAGGCATGCGCCCTGTTAACATGCAGCATGAACCCGTTTGTCTGTGTTCTGCAGGAGAAGCAGTCCTTCCACAGGCACAGCATCCAGTGGGCCCAGCCGGGTCTGTACGTGGGCATCCTGAAACTGTGCAGCTCAGTGGAACAGATCAGAGTTCTGGTGCCTCAGAGACTACCCAACCTACTGTGCCACACACGGGTCCGGCACAACGCCCACGTGTCGAGGTAACGCAGTTGGACCGTGTGATGTTGTGTGCTTGATGAGATCACCATGTGGTCGCCCAAATCAGTACCGTGTCATCTTAGAGGAAGCAACCCACCAAGCAGCTAATAGGCTTCAACGTGCAAAGATATGTTTTTGCATCTCGAGTTGTTTTCGGAGTAGCGCCCGTCCTTATTAATCGTACGATGTTCTGACAGAGAGGAGTGGGCGTGGCTCCAGAGTCATGTTTACACAGCATCCAATGGCAGCGTTCAGAACCTGTTGAGCGGCGAGGACGAGAGTTTGATGGAGAGCAGCGGTCTGGTGGAGTTCGTCAGGTCTCTGAGAGCGGCGGTGACACATCTCCTGACGAAGCTCAACATCCCCCTCTACAGGGTAAACGCCGTGCTTAGAGATTCTCCTTTTGAACCGTGTTACACATTTGAATGGAAAGACTCTGTTAGGATCACTGCTGAGGTGATCCAGGTGGAGTGGAATTAATTTCCACTTAGAGCCTTTTTCACAGGGTTTCACATTTGATTACATGAGGACGTATTTTTTCTGCTGTGTCTCTGGCAGGCCTATCAGTACGGCGTGTACACCCGGGAGCTGCTGCAGTTTGGAGAAAAGCTGTCCATGCTGCTTCTGCTGCCTCCCAGCGAGGACTTCAGCTCCAGTTACTGGCCTCTGGTTGGGACCAAGGAGCCTGGACTCACCATGCCTCTGCAGATCTTTGAGCTGGGTAATTGGAGAGCTCTAATTACTCTGGATCAGTCCCACAAAAGAGAAGCTAGGTGAAGCAAGCACACAGTATGCAACAGAAATGAGTACACGGCTGAGTATTTCCTCATATAAAAAGTAGAAACTCAATGCAGCTGTGATCACTCAAATAGTAGTCCACCTGTGATTTCCAGTCAGTCTAACTGCATGAACGTGGTTATAAAATGACACCAGAGCTTCGTGCATGTCTGCATCATGGCTCCACGTAGACGGAAAAGCATACAGGAAGCCCAGTGACTCACTAGAAATCAGTGGAGGTGTAGAATGAGCCATAGTTCCACTGATCAGAGCTGCGGTGGCCGTACTTCTAAAATGACGGGACAGACGGCCCACAAAAAGAAAACAACCTTTGCTTGCACGATAGGCACAAAACTGCAGGATGAAACTGCTAAAATGCATGAAATGAATATTAGCAGCGCCTTCTTTGGTCGGAGGAGACCAAGATGAATGTGTTCAGCTCAGATGGGGGTAAGAACCTGACCAGGACGGCTACAGCGAAGTCCTGACGGTGGAGAACGGAGGCGGGATTGTAATGACACGTTGCTGCACACATGAAACAAAGAGGTGCTGGAAGATGTCATTTATAGACGGCACTGATGAATGCCTGTGGATTTACCAAAATATACTGGCTGACAGAATGATTTCAAGTCTGCAGAAGCTTGGCAGAAGAGGAATATTCCTGCATGATAATGATCTAAAGCACACGGCCAAGAGCTGCTAAAGAATAACAAATTGAAAACTGTGGCCTGGCCAAGTTTAGTTTCTTAAAACTTTTAAATACAGAAGTTTACTGTCTGTGTCCTACTTTATTAATAAGCTACAGGTGTTGGTAGCACAAGAAATACAACCAGACTTTCCTTGAGTGAGTTCCTAATTGGCTGCTGTCCATCTAAGTAGGACTGGCGTGTACCTCAGTGTTCATCGAAACATCTGGAACCCTTTGTCTCCTTAAGGAACATCGCTGTACGGTTGTATCACGTAGGAAAGAGGTGACGGGAATCCTTTGATGTGGCGTACATCTCATTAAGATCAATAACTGTGTCTCGTTTCAAAGGAAATGAAGGAAAGAATTTTAAATAACCCCAAAAAATAACCCAGAAAAAAAATGGATTTCAGTTGCCAGTTGGGTTGGAAAATGCAATATGCATAAAGCAGGCGAAGGTACAGTCCCGGATCGTTTGATCTGCTGGAGATGAGTCGCTTTTTTTTGTTGTTTTTCTTTATCCAATTAGTGCTTTGATCCTCTTCTTTATCCAGACTTTAGGATTTGTTTTGATTCTATTTTAAAGCCATCTTTTTTACTTCGGCCCATGTTGAAGGCCTGATGCAGGACGCTAACGAGATGTGAGGGGTTTTTTTTTCTCGCTTCGCTTTGATGCAGCGATTTGTCTTTTCTCTCAATTCTGGCTCGTCAATTAGTTCACTTCTGGACGTACGAGCGGGATTTCCTCTCCAAGTATTGCCAGGCCTGGGTCCGGCTAGAGCTGGACACTCACCTGGCCCAGCAGGCTCTGCGGGAGGCGCTGGACACCAAGGAGGTGCAGGAGGCCCGCGAGCGGCTCAACCACATCACCGAGCTGTCCCAGGTAAGCTCACGAAAACAGCAACAACAAGAAAAAAAAAGAGGGCGAAATACTTCAAAGGAGAACTTGTGAAACATACGAGATGGTGCAACGTACTGACGTCTGTTGGCTTCTGCTGCTGCAAAATTCACATCTCAGTCACATCTCAGAGCTTTGAAGCGCTGGTTCTGTTTCTACGTCTCTTCTTCTGTGATTAATTTGCATTTAATGAGGGATATAAGTAGGAGGCTTTCATTTGCAGCTGGCCTTCACTGTCATTTATTAAAGTGGAGACAAATCGCTATCAGGACTTTTGTAATTGAGCTGTTTTAGAGTTTTTACTAATTGAATTTTGTTGTTTTTTTAAAAAATTTCTTTCTGTAGCGCTTAGATGTGGTGTGGAGGGACGCCCGCTGGATCATGGACTGCCTGCAGTGTGTTCGGTCCAAGCAGTGGGTCGGGGCGGTGCCACTCGGCCTGGTGATGGGAGGAGACCCGCCGCCGTGTCCCGACGGTGAGGAGGAGGAGGAGAGCCTGACCGCCAGACTGACGTGGCCCCATCGGATGCAAGCACAGAGAAGCATTGCAGGTACAGAGTCCA